AAAGGTCTTCATTAAGAAAATAATAAATATCAAATAGATTATTTGATGTTAAAGTACGATTACGAACATGATTCAAACAAGTAAATGAGGTAGATGTAGCTAATATATCATATTCAATTAATAATTTTACTGGTTTATGTTTTTGATGTAATTTATCTAACTCACTTAAGTTAAAAATATATGATATTCCATTCTTGATAATATTTTTCATATTGATATTATCAATTTCAAAATATTGTGAATTCTTTAATTTGTAAGACTTATACACTGGTTTAAATTTATTAATATAATTTTTAATAATATTATTATTTTTTATTTTTAAGAATCTAACATCACCTAAATTATAAGATAATACAAGGTTTTTAATGTCTAATGGTAAATCATAAAATATCATATAATATTAATATTTATTTTATTTTAAATGCTTTCTCAAACCTGATGTAATACATCTTATTAATGTCTTTAGAATTCATATTTACATACATAAATGAATATGGAGCATCGCCCACTGCCGTGTGATACATTTGTAATAATCTTTCTTTATCCAGGACTGCTGAATTTTCTTCTATGAAACTCATTAACTCACTTGCATTCTTCAACCTGAAAATGTATAATGAACTGGCATTGACACGAATTATATTGGCTACTGTTTTATATTTTTGAAGACTACATATGCAAGAGATGGCGTCATGTCTTCCGCGCGTAAATAAACCGTGTAATATTTTTGAATATCTTAAAAATTTAGGGTCATCTGAAAAATCATCAATAACAATAAGAATGGAGTATAATTTCTTCATTTTAGTATTTTTCATATAATGTATTACTTTTCTTTGTGTATTAATGATATTTTCCAATTCTTCTGGTCGGTATTCATCAAAATATACTTGCTCTTTTGTATCATCCACCTTCATTTCTTCTCGTTGGTATTTCTTGACTTCAACAAAGGTAGGGTCATTATGGACGCTCGGACTAAAAATAAAGATACGAGAGAAACAGTTTTTATATACATTTAATATCAAATTTTGAATTAGAACTGTTTTGCCACCTGTTGAAGAAGCAACTATAATGCTTCTAAAAGGTAGTTTTGGCACGTGCTCATATTTAGATTGATTGAAATCGTAATCAGTTATGTTTATTGGTTTTATTATTGGTACATCTGACATAATAAATTAATATTAAAGTTATTTAGAAAATATTTTATAATTATTATTTTATATGGATAGAAGATATTCAGATTATATCAATATAATAAACGAAGTAGAAAATATAGAACAAGTTGTTCTAACTGATAATAGATTTAAGAAAATATGCTATTTTATTTTAGAATTAATTAAGTTTGTTATACAATATATCAAAAATAAAAATGTGAATATTAATATAAATGGGAAAAAAGAAAAAGAATAAGACTGAACCAGTTGTTTCTTCAACTGATGAAGAAAAAGAAGAAATAACATCAGTTATTGAGTTTGCTTGTCCAATGTGTAAAAAAATCTTAGAAATGAAGAATGAATTAGAAATACAAAAGAAAGGAAACTGTAAATGTTCGTGTATTCCAACCAGTTTCAAAATTAGTAAAAATGATAAGAAAATGAATATTGATAAAACTAAAGACAGTATAAACTTAGAAACAGGTGTTCATAATATTGCTATACGATTTGGGAGGGGAGTTACTCCATCAGATAATGGTGATAAGGAAACTCAAGAAACTATACGCGAAATGATGAAAAAATAATAGTTAAAATTATTTCTATTATTATTTATAATGCAAGATGTTATAAATAATATTATTAAATTCATTGATGTAAAAGAATTGAAATTAAATAATTTTATTGAAGAATATAACGAAAATGATATATTAATTAATTTTGTTAATGACTTTAGAAATAGTAAAATTGATTTTAACATGTTTTATAATTCTATTAATTATGCTGATTTATTTGAACAATCAGATTTAAAATTCTATTGTAAAAGAATATATTCATATACTTTAAGATTTATTGCTAATTATGATAATAAAAATGCTATTCACTTTTATGAAATTACATTGAGAAAAATGAATAATATTTACAAAAATAGTAACATTAATGGTGTTAATGTGTTTGAATGTATTAAATGTTTAATAATTTATATTACAGATAATATTGAAAAGTTTCATAAATATTCAAAATTTAGAAAAACTATTATTTGTAATTTAATTGGTAAATTGAATAATAATTTAACGAGTTACACAATAACTAATTTTGAATTGACTTATAATGATATATGATTTTGTAAAATAAAAGTTTAGTTTTAAAAGTTTTATTTATAATATAATATATATATTTACATGGATGAAGGATTAGAAAAGATTGTTAAAAAACTGAGTAAGGTTTTAGAACAGAATAAGAATATTTTAGAAATCTTACAAGAAATGGAAAAGAAGAAACCATTAACAAACATTTATCAAAGTAAAGAAGTAGATAGAACCAATGGTGAATATAAAAATAAAAGAAATATTTATTTAAACAAACTTAATAACAAAGAAATTAAAGAACCGAAGGCTTCAACTATGACATTTTATCAAATTGACTATGATGAGGAAACTCAACTTTATTCATAAAGTTGTATTTACTCATTGAAAACTAAACATAGTTTTTAACGAGGAAACGGGGTTTTATTCATAGATAATATTATCTAAATATCTTTAATAATGAACTTATTAGAGATGTTTAGCGGAACAGGTAGTGTTGGACTTGTTGCAAAGTCGCTCGGTTTCAATGTTATTTCATTGGATTTGAAAAATGCTGATATAAATACTGATATTTTGAAATGGGATTATAAACAATTTGACAGGAACCATTTTGATTTTATTTGGAGTAGTCCCCCATGCACTGAATATAGTGTAGCAAAAACTAGGGGAATAAGAAACATTGAATATGCTAATAGTATAGTTTTAAAAACTATTGAAATTATTAAATATTTTAATCCTAAATATTTTGTAATCGAAAATCCTCAAACTGGATTATTAAAACATCAGGAGTTTATGGATGAGTTTGATTTTAAAGATGTAGATTATTGTAAATATGGAATGTCTTACAGAAAGAGAACTAGGCTTTGGAATAACATTACAACATGGAAACCTAGAGATTTATGTAAAAAGGATTGTGGCAACATCATGGATAATAAACATATTGAAACTGCGCAGAGACTGCCAAATGGAAACAAGGAAAATTGGGGAGACAATCCAATAATACATAAGCAGGAAGATTTGTATAAAATACCTAGTAATTTAATCAGTGAAATTTTGGTGAGTTTGGTTTGTTAAATAATTTGAGTTGTGGGACAGGAAAAACCCGCTGGAGGACAGGCAAAAAACCCACAGGGGGACAGAATACAACCCATCGGGGGACAGAATAAAACCCATCGGGGGACAGAATAAAACCCATCGGGGGACAGAATACAACCCATCGGGGGACAGAATAAAACCCATAGGGGGACAGAATAAAACCCATCGGGGGACAGGATAATTAAAACCACACTATAATTATAACATGTAAAATCTTATATGTTATAATTATACTGAACTTGTGGTTTGTTTCTTAATTTTTCTTAATGCCTTAAAAATGACTTAAAGAAATAGTGCCTTAATATAATAAGAGGAAAATGAACGGTGATAAAATCAATAATTATATCAATAAAAAATGCTATGATTGTTATCACTTCAAAAAGGAAAATATGGAATTGTATAAATTGAATTTACCTAATGAAACAGTGAATAATATTATTAATTATTCAATGGATGAAAAAGACGAATGTGAAAATTGTCAGGAATGGAGAGATAATCAATTTTTAATCAAATGTCTGTTGAGAATAAAAGGAAGACATAATAGAAATGTAGAAGATGAGATTTTAATATTTCTAACTGTAAATAAAATACCACCTTATGATTATGTTAAACAGTTTCTTAAAATCAGTAAGAAAAAATATGACATGATTTATGATATATTATGGATGTTGGGCTATAGTCAAGAGAAAGGAGAAGATGTTAAAGAAAATATCAAATTATTTATTGAAAGTAAAAAGTTTAATATTCAAAATACATTGAGAGATATTAATATTATTTTTAAAATGATGTATGAAAGAAGAAAGATTTGTCAATTAAATTATTATCCTGTACTGAAATTATAATCATACTATAATAATAACATGTAAAATCTTATATGTTATAATTATACTGTACTTATAGTTTGTAAAGATTGAAATATTTCATTTTTCCTTGATTTGGCTGACTCTTTCAAAGTGCGTTGTTTGAACTTGGTATGCTCTTTTGATTTTTTCGTGCTTTGGCTGTTTGTATTTTATTTTGTTTGATACTCTTCTGATATTTTTTGTTGGTATGTTGCTTTGCTTTTTGTTGATGTGTGTGTTTGAGTTTGTGTTCTTTGATGGTTTTTATTTTTGTTGTTTTGTTGGTATGCTTGTTTGAATTATTTAATGTTTTATGCTTTGATTAAATATTTTGTTGGGGGTTGTTCTGGTTTTTGAGTTGCTTGGTGGTTCTTATCTTGTTTTCTGTGAATTTTGCTGATTTTGTTGTATGCTGTTTGATTATTTGGGTTTGATGTTAGAAGTGCCATTTTATGTATTTTTTCCCCCTCCCCTCCCCCTCCCCTCCAGGATTCCCCCTCACCCTCTAAGATTCCCCATGTCGCTCAACATCACCTTGGTGGATTCAATGTTGAGTCTCGAGTTGCCTGCTGAGCGGTTTTCAACCTTGGTCAACTCCCCGCGGATTTCCCCGCCCAAATAGAGACATCGGCCCCGGGAAACCCTCCGAAGCCCCGGAATTTGATTTGTTGAGTCTCGAGTTTCAATCTGCCTGGTTCTCAACCTCCCAAACGGCCCGGGTTCCCCCTCGCAAAGAAAGAAAAAAAAGGCGAAAAGCATGCTGCCAAACATGCAGACCCCCCCCCCCCACCCACATGTTGCCAACGTTGAAACCCGACGTCCCGATCTCCGAGGCGAGGTGCAGCTTTGGCGCCTCGGCCTGGAGAAGGAGCTGCGGACCCGCGCCTGCCACACCTTCGGCGCCTGCCTCCTAGGCGCGCGGGCGAACCGCGGCGCGGGATGCGGAGTGAGGGGTTGGATTGGGGAGTCGTTTGACGGGTTTTTTGGGTGGGAGAAACGGGTTGGGGCCAAAAAAGATGGAGATCACCGGCGGCGGCGTGGGCGTGTATGTTTTTTTCCCCAAATAGTGTTTACACTTGGGGGTTCTTACGGTAAGAGTTAAGGCCTGGTGTAGATCGAGGTGTCGGCTCAAATTGCTGGCCCTGTGCGTAAAAAGTTGTCTTCGATGCGACAGTCTCGCACGAAATGGAGGTGTCAGCTGGTGCGTGCGTCTCGCTGTGGTGCCGTTCGCACTTTTCAGCTTTTGCTGGCAGGGGCAACAGTTGGGAGGTGCGCGCTGCGACGCGGGGTGTGTTTTTTGAGGAAGCCTCGTGCCAAACGCGCATTTGAGACCAAAGTGCGTTTTTTGATGGCAGGGCCGCCACGCGGTGATATCTTCTTGTCGGGTCAGGCTACCACGCTTGGACAATCGGAGCTCTAAAACCATGGCAGTTGTCGCAAAACGTTGTCTTGCGTGCGACAGCTTCGCACGAAACGGACCTTTCTTCAAAACTGCGCTCTCGCTGTGGCGCCGCGCCGATCTTCGGATTTGTGTGTTGCCGCAGAATTCCATGGCCAGCGCAGCATTCTGTGAGACTGCCGTGCATTTTTCGTGGTGGGCGCAGCATGTTTTGCGCTGATGCAAATGATGCGTGGCAGGCGCAGCATTTTCGGAAACAGGGTCTGTGAATTTCGTGGCAGGCGCAGCGTTTCGCTCATTTGCAAGCGTTGCAAGACGAAAGTGAACCCTTTGCGGAGATCGTGCGTGTCGAAGCGCTCTCGCTGTGGCGCCGTGCGAACTTGTCTTGAGCTCGGCGAACCCTCTGCGGAGATTGTGCGTGTCGAAGCGCTCTCGCTGTGGCGTCGTGCGAATGTGTCTTGAGCTCGGCGAGCCCTCTGCGGAGATCGTGCGTGTCGAAGCGCTCTCGCTGTGGCGCCGTGCGAACTTGTCTTGAGCTCGGCGAACCCTCTGCGGAGATTGTGCGTGTCGAAGCGCTCTCGCTGTGGCGTCGTGCGAATGTGTCTTGAGCTCGGCGAACCCTCTGCGGAATTGTGCGTGTCGAAGCGCTCTCGCTGTGGCGCCGTGCGAATTTGTCTTGAGCTCGGCGAACCCTCTGCGGAGATTGTGCGTGTCGAAGCGCTCTCGCTGTGGCGCCGTGCGAATTTGTCTGTGGTGAGCCCTTGCGTAGATCCTGCGTGTCGAACGCTCTCGCTGTGGCGCCGTGCGAATTCTTCTTGAGCTCGGCGAACCCTCTGCGGAGACTGCGCGTGTCGAAGCGCTCTCGCTGTGGCGCCGTGCGAATTTGTCTTGCTCGCGGTGAACCCTTTGCGTAGATCCTGCGTATCGAAACGCTCTGGCTGTGGCGCCATGCGAATTCCGTTCGATTTGTCTGCTTTCCTTGCTTGCGAAGCGGTGTTTGGAAGTTGTCTCGTGGTTTGCGCGTCTGCTTTCACGATCGCACGCTGTCTCGGGCTCCACCTGCCTGGTCCGCGGCAGCTCCGGCTTGAAAATCGCAACTTTTAATTACGAAAGTAGTACGCGAGAGCTCCGGCTGCAATATCGCAACTTCTAAGCGCAAAAGTAGTACGCGAAGTGCGCTTCCGCAGCTCCGGCACGAAATTTGCAAGTTTCAAGTACAAAAAGTAGTATGCGAAGCGCGCTCCCGGAGCATTCCCAGAGCTCCAGCTTCAAAATTACAACTTGCAAGTACAAAAGTAGTACGCGAAGCGCACTCCCGCAGCTCCGGCTCAAGAATTGCAAGTTTTAAGTACAAAAGTAGTACGCGAAGAGCATTCCCAGAGCTCCGGCTGCAAAATCGCAACTAGTAAGTAGAAAAGTAGCACGCGAAGTACACTCCCGCAGCTCCGGCTACAAAGTCACAAGTTTTAAGCACAACAGTAGTACGTGAAGAGCTGTCACAGAGCTCCGGCTGCAACATCGCAAGTTTTAAGTACAAAAGTAGAAATCGCAACTTTTAATCACGCAAGTAGGACGCGAAGAGCATCATTCCCAGAGCTCCGGCTGCAATATCGCAACTTCTAAGCGCAAAAGTATTACGCGAAGTGCGCTTCCGCAGATCCGGCACGAAATTCGCAAGTTTAAGTACAAAAAGTAGTATGCGAAGCGCGCTCTCGCAGCTCCGGCTGACAAATCGCAAGTTTTAAGTACCAAAGTATAAGTACGCGAAGAGCATTTCCAGAGGTGCAGCTGTGAAATCGCAACTTGTAAGTACAAAAGTAGTACGCGAAGTGCGCTCCCGCAGCTCCAGCTGAAAATTCGCAAGTTTTAAGAACGTGAAGAGCTTTCACAGAGCTCCGGCTGCAAAATCGTCGCACATTTAAGTGCAAAAGTAATACGTGAAGAGCTTTCAGAGAGCTCCGGCTGCAAAGTCGCAACTTTTAAGCGCAAAAGTGGCGCGCGAAGTGCATTCCCACAGCTCCGGCTGCAAAGTAGCAACTTTCAAGTGGCAAAAGTAGTGTGCGCAGTGCGTTCCAATGGCTCCGGCCAAAGTTGTACGCCAAGTGCATTCCCGCAGCAGCTCCGGCTGCAAAATCGTAAGTGTCTACGTGCAAAGGCGAAGCGCGCGCTCGCAGCTCCAGCTCGAACATCGCAACTTCAGTTTTCAAGCGCGAAAGTAATGTTCGGAAAGTGCTCTCTCGCATCTCCAGCTCGAAAATCGCAACTTGCAAGCGCAAAAGTAGTATGCCAAGTACACTTCTGCAACTAAAGCCGCCAGCCTGCTTGCGCAGCCAAACTGCACGCAGATATGGACAAGAGAGGTTGACAAGAGAAAGGGACATGAAAGGTTGGGCGAGAGAGGTTGCGCAGCATCATGCGCGAGAGGGACCGTCACACGCAGCATCATGCGCAGCATCATGCACGGCGTCGCGCGCAACGTCGCACGCAGCGTCATGCACAACATCATGCCTGCGCAGCATCATGCGCAACATCACGCGTAGCTTCACGCGCAGCAGCGTCAAAACACAGCGCCGCGCGCAAGAGAAGTTGACAGGAGAGATTTTTCGAAGCGCGACACCAAGCTTGCTCATCAGATCTTGCAGAAGCTACGAAGGGACATTGATGCGCTTACGCCTGTTTCTCATCTGCAGTGGGAGAGGTGTCAGAGTTTATTTAACGTCTTTCTATGCTTCCGGGCCACCCGTCGTCAAATTAAACCCAATACTATGTGGGGTCTCTTGCCGGGATAATTTTGTTTTTGAGAAGAGGCAACAGGCTTTTAAAGCCAGAGTGGCGTTGGGGGTTGGCCCCTATTGGTGTCAGGTTGGTGGCTGTCGGCTTTGGTTTGTCCAAGTCCTATCGGTGTTGGTGAGGATTTTGTCAGTTGCACGCAAAGGCACCAAGAGCCATAACGAGGGTGGGGGTTAGGGGTTTTCCTCTTGGGAAACCAATTCAAAACACCTAACCGTTCTGGAGGAAACACTACTTGGGAAGGCCGGTCCAAAGGTCAACTCAAGATTTGCCAAACACAATCAAACAAAATATTGTTCTGAAGAAAACCTTCAAACAATGGGAACCCAATCGTTCTTTACCCTAGACCGATCCAGCAAATTAGGGGTGCCTTAACAGTATCAAACAAACTGTGGCACAGGTAATGCAAAATACTGTGTTGCGTCACACGCGGACCTGACCACAACATGCCGCATCAATTGAAGTGCAGAAGGAGTCAAGCATGTTTGTGCAAAATCGGGCACGCTGCACCAACCTGTCGCATTTTGCCCACAATTGCCGCAAACCGTCGCAGGCATTATACCTTCTTGGTTTCTTAGTAAAACCGTCTCGCCGCCCTCTAGCAAAGCCACTAACGGGAGGGTCTCCATGACCCGCGTCAGGCGCGCCGCTGCGTTTGCTCCGCTTCCAGCGGGCCCTCACCGAGGAGGAGATCGTGCTGCGCTGGGCGCGCCAGGGCCGCGAGGCCGCGGACCGCGGCACCGCGCCTCGGCCGCGAGAACCGAGCCGCGAGATGCGAGGCTCGGGGGTTTGGGAGGGGAAGGTCCCAAAATGCGTCGGTTCTCCTGTCCCTTTAAAAGCAGAAAAGGGGAACCCTTAGGAAAAAAACAACACCAGCCTAGACCCCAGGTAGCACACCACGGCCACGAAGCATGACGCAGCATCAGAATGATTCCCGCACGCCATCACTGTTGACAGCATCATGATGATGCCACGTCCACTCGGCATGGGGCGCTAAATAGTAGCACAAACAACGTCCTACTGAGTTCGGCAGCATAATGGTGATGTTGCCAACATTATGCTATGCTGATACACCAGCCACGAATCACTCCGCGCTACGTTGAAGGCAGAGCCGACGTCCTCATGAGTTCGACAGCATCATCATGATGCGAACAGCATCATGATGATACCACAGCCACGCATCATCTTGGGACATCGTGATGAAATTCAGCATCACCATGATGGTGTTAACAGCATCATGGTGCGACCACACCCGCGAACCATAACGCGGCATCGCAATGATGAGCATCATGATGTGACTGACAACATCATGATGATACCGCAACTACGAATCAGCACCCCTCTAGCAGCCTGAGGTCAATCTCGCCAGCATGCGCCCGCAACGCACCACCTCCAACAGCACGCCGAAGAGTACCCCAAACAGCACCCGCCCCAGCACCGTGCCGCCCATATGGGCCCTCGCCGCCACCAACACCTCAAAACCAGCACCTCAACCGAACAGCACCGCAAAACAGCAACCTGCACCAGCACCCCAAACTGACCCAAACTGCATGCCCCTAGCACCCGCCGTCGTCACCAGCACCTCAAACAGCACCTGCGCCAGCGCTGCACGCTTCTTGGCACTCGGCCGTCACTCTCGCAGAAATGCGCCCGCACCGTCACCCTCAAACAGCACCACCACCAGCACTCCAAACTGCGTGCTCCCTAGCACCCTGCCGTCAATCTTGCAAATCACTTTCCCCACTTTACTAGAAGCTAGAACCTGCACAGCTTTCGGCTATCTGGGGAAAACGGACGCGCCCATGTCCCTTTCCTCCAACAGTTTGACCCTGCAGCCTGCGGCAAAGTTCGGCGGACTCCAGGAAGAAGATCCGCCTAGGTGGCTGCAACTGAATTCTCTAGATGCTGTCCACCAAAGCTTTTGACCCAGCATCCACTGGTTTTTAGTTTGGCTACAAAAAGGGCTCAGGCTTGTTTCATCATTCGAATTCAGACTCGGTGGAAGAAAATGCCGAATTTGTTTATTGTCAATATTGTCCAGTAAGTTTAGGGTTTTGGACATGGAGGACGCCCTCCGAATTTCCCAAAAACTGGGACAAACTCGAAGTTTCCCCGCGGTCGTTTGTGTCGAAACAGGGACTCCCAAGGATCTGTCAGCGGTTTCCTGTCGCTTTTCCCTTTCAAACACCCCGCAACAGGGTACTTACCCTTCCAAAAAACGTCAAAAACGCAAAAGGAAGAGAAAAAAACCGCCTGCGGTTTGAGGGTCAGATGCCTTCGAAAGTTAGGAGGCGCACTACCAGCTGGAGCTCTGGCTCAACCGCGACCTTTGCCGCCTGGAGGAGAGGGGCAGAGGCGGAGGCGTTGCGGTCGCCTCGGAAGAGGGTGGCTGTGATTGTCAAAACCGTTTTGGGCTCCCATTTTGCTTGGTAGGTGAATTCGCCACCCATTTTAGAACCTATTTTAGTGGTTGGATTGGGATGTTCACTGGGGGTACGATTTGGATTTTGACCCATGGACATGTGTGGTGGTTTAAGGTCGACTCACCGCCTGAGTTCAGGGACTTTAACCTTTGGGAATGCCGAATGTTCATGGCAAACGAGAAGTGTTGGTCTTTTTTTTGGGCCGGTCCACGCAGGAAGTTTGACGAAGTAAGGGAATACGTGCAAAGCCTCAAGTGCTTTCTGCTAGAATGCCAGAAGGACGTCCACCTTTCTAGATAGAATTGGGGGGGTTTGCATAGCACGTGGCATGTGTGAAAACAGGGACTTTTGATGATTCCCGTGGTCTGCCAGCCTGAAGCAAACCCCTCAAAGCTGCAACCCGGTGGTTTGCTTTGGATTGCCTGCGCCCTCAAAAACGGCGCAGAAGTTGATTTACCAAAATGGGCTCCGGTGTTTTGCCGTTTCCCCACCTCCGAAAGAGCAACAACCACTTGGTAGTTCCCTCAAAGGAAAACTCTGAAAGAGGGAAATTCTCCCAAAAAAGTACAAGCCCTCCAAACGAGATTTGTTCCTCCCCGCAAAAAAGGAAAGCCCTCCCCCAAAAAAAATAAGCTCATGTGATATCCCCAACGGCATGCGGTGCTCTTTTTAGTGGCAGCCCTCGCAGAACCTCGGGGAACCCTCGTGGAACTGGTGGAACCCTGGTGGAACCCTTGTGGAGCTCTGGTGGAACCCTCGTGGAACCTTACCTCAGGGCCGCCCCGGACCACCCCAAAGCCTATCTGGGCTGAGACCCCAAAGCTTCCAGCTGTTGGGGAAAAAACCCTCCAAACGAGACATTATCCCCCCCCAAAAAGAACAGCCAGCCCCCAAAAAAAGAAGAACCTGCACCAGAAACACCCCCAACGCCCTTTTGACCAAAACGCCCGACACGCCGGGCGTGCGGTGAGGAGCCGGAGGTCCAGCGGGGCCTGGCCTTCCTGGCGCTGCTGGCCCAAACCTTCCCCGGCGTCAAGGCGTGGAGAGGGCCGGGTCCGAAGGTCCGGAGGTCACTGAAATCCGGATTCCAAGTTCGAAAAGGGGGGGGAGGAGGTTTATATTTTAGGATTGGTTGGGTTGTTTTGGAGGGGGGGTTAGTACTGTATTTTGGGATTGGTTGGTTTTAGCTGGGTTTGGGATTGGTTGGGTGGTTTTAAGGGGCTTTCATGGGATAGGCTGGTTTTGTTCGGGGGTTTTATGGTGAGGAAGTTGGGCAGATCATGTCTTTGGACATTCGGGATGCCTGGCGCACTGTGTTTTTTTCCTCTCTTTTTCGTGCCCCGTGAAGGTTTCTTAGAAAAGCGGATATTTGTTTGTCGCAACACTGGCTACCATACATCGCCCTTCACGAAAACGATGGGAATATAAAAGACTCAAGTCCTAAGTCTGGCGTTAAACGTAAGTTTACAATTCGCATGGTAAATCGGGCTAACGCGGGTGCCACTTCCATTTGCTCGAAACATGCAGCAAGAAGAAGTGGATTGCTACGATTGCGAAAGCAACGCAGCAAACCTTTCAGGGCTCAGCCCGGTGAGTTCTGCGCTTGCTTGTTTGCTAGCTTTGGCTGCGTTCCTGTGGCCCCCCCTTCTTATTTTTACGTGTTTTGGCCCTGCTGTTCCTGCCCTTTTGTTCCCCTTGTTCCCCTTGTTCCCCTTAGTCGTTCCCCTTAGTCGTTCCCCTTAGTCGTTCCCCTTAGTCGTTCCCCTTAGTCGTTCCCCTTAGTTGTTCCCCTTAGTTGTTCCTCCCCTTTTTCGGTTCCCGGCTTCGGGCGCCCCTCTTTAGGCCTTCCGCACCGAGTGGCGCATCTTCGGGGAAGCCGAGGATCTGGCAGGCCACGGTATTTCACGGTGAGCCGATTCGGAGGTCTGGTGTTCCAGGGTTGTCAAACCCCATTTGCCCACTACAAGAAGGGCTTCAAATCCAAATCCAAACCCTATCAAGGGTAACCTGATTGATTGGTGTTAGTTCCATAGCATCCTGGTTCAAAAAGATCGGCTTTTGGGAGACCAATTCGGTTGCATGGGGTAGGATTGTTTTCTGAAACCAACTGGCTGCTCCGACCGTTCGCTCACGGCAGATTCGTGACATGGGAAGGCTTTCGCACTCGCACCGAGGCCTTACTTTGGAGTACCTGTTCCAAACTACTACGACGATCACAGTCGATCAACCTGCTCACCCTGGAAAAGGACCTTGCCAACTCGCTGGGTCTCAACATCGATGACTTCAATCAGCGGATCAAGGTTCATGACCATTTGGCCAGCTTGGTACTTCAATTTCTTCAGCAACACCACGCTTCTCTCACACCTTCCACCCAGACAGATGACATGGTCAAGAAGTACAATGATCTAAATCGTGCGCATGAGCTGCTCCAGGCTCAGTATTCAGCATCGCTGCGCGCTTCGACCTCTCCCACGATGGCAAGCCAGAAAGATGATGCAGAGTTGGTTACACCGCCACCGGTCAACCACACACAATCCTCGTCACCTGCCAGCTCCCTCCCTACAGTCAGCGCAGCGGCCCTTGATGGCAAATCGTTTGATAGCGCGGTGCAACCCCGGATCATTCAGTCTCTTCACGGAGTGTCTTCACCGCCGTCCAAGCCGGCGGCGTCACAATTGCTCACCATGCACAGCACGCCGGAAGAAGTTGTCAAATACTACACATGGACCAGTGACCAGCCACGCCTTTATCTCAAGCAATCGCCCACAACCACAACTTTGACGTCACTGGTCAAGTGGGCCAATCACCCGTCCCGGCTCAACGGCAACAAGTCATTAGATTCCATGGCGACGCAGCTCCTTCAAGCGCGTCAACGCATGCCGAAAGGCGACGCACCTACGGCTATCTCACCAAGCTCACTGAGACTTGCTATCTGCCGATACAGTGAGACTTGCCACAAGGACGGTCCATCACAAAAATCGGCATTTCCCAAACCATGAGCCCATCCTAAAACGCATCCTAAGTGAGTTGAATGGCATCAGACCTTCGGGGCTCCTGCCAACCTTCCCCGGGGTGGGCTTTAGTTTCCTTAAGCCGCAAGCTTGCCAACTAGTGGGTTTTCCATTGAACCACTAAAAGTTAAACTTCTAGCAGGGGAGCAGAAGGCAGCCGAGGAGTTTGGTGTTTAACCAGAAGACCCCTCGGACACCGAAGGAAACCTGCGCGCGGGCCAGGATCCATCGACTTTGCCGCCCGCATGCCAAACGGCACTCTGTGCCTGCCACTTGGCGATCTTGGCGCTGGGCGTTTGCCCCCAGGAGAACGGGGGGAAAAAAAAGAACAAAAACGACCCGTTTTTCGGGCTCAAACGATGTTAATGAATTTGTATGTGAAACGATCGATTTGCCACATGAAGGACACCTGCCTCAGTGAACTTAGCAATTTTAGTGCAGAATTATCCCTGCTGGATTGTGTAATCATCACCTTTGGGCGCAGGGCTCCAACTCGTTTTTCCCATCAAGTGTGGTGCTTCATATCACATGTGATTGGCCGTGGTGGAGGTTGTCCTCTTGGTCGCTCTTTGAACAGCCAGCCTGAACTCTTATTAGGATTGCAGTGCTTGGGTTCCTTTGAGCTTCCGCAGTTCAGTTGATGAGTACTTTGTGCAGATTGGTCTGAGGGATCGCCGGTCATGCCTGTACGGATTGACAAAGCCGTGGTTTTCTCATTCACGCTTCTTTGGTGTCCTTCAAATCCGTTTTTAGTCATGGCCCCAAAAGGTGAACATTTTGCAATTTTATGGACCCTTTGGGCAATTGAGTCTGGGCGTTCCCTGTTTGGGCTGTTTGTTTCTTGTCCCCCCCCACCCGGTGCCCAAGCCGAGGATCGATTGGAAGCGCTCGGATAAGCTCCAGAGCAGCCTCTGGAACAGCTTCGAGCGACGCTGAGCCAAACACCCACTTTCACCCGTCCATCCTTTCATTGAGGGGAACCTGACAGGTGGCTTGAAGATGTTGGTCTTTCCCCGGCGCACGAGGTCGGCAGGCCTGATGTTTTCCACGGGGGCCTGGCTCAAGACAGACTGCGTATGCCGTGCAGGCGTGTCCGCGGCCGAGACTCGAATGAAGTCCCGCCCTTTGGGCAGGGGCATATGGATTGGGCCGAGATGGCCGTGCAAAACTCATGTCAAGCAAGATTCGGGACGAAATGATCAACACGTGGGGGAGATGCCCCTCGTTCACGCGCCACTGCCTGAAGCTGGCGCACGAATAGATTGGCTGGGGTTGATTCAGATGCCGCGCGGATGAGCAGTGGTACGCAATACCACCTCTGCAACGGTAGACCACAGAAGCGGGTGGCTTCTCGTAGGTCTTCTGCACGGAGTCAGTGAAGGCGTTGGACCTCAGCGGACTTGACATAGGCCTTCTCCTCCGCGAGGTGGTTCTCCAACTGCAAGAGTTGCTCACGAAGCTGGTTTTCTTGACATCTTTGGAGATCTTGCGGTTGGCTATATGATGTAGGCAAAGCCTAGGATGCCAATTATGAGCAGCAAGATAGGCAGGATGAGGATAACGTAGTCGTCACAGCTATCGTAGTCCAGAAAGCCGTGGCAGGCTGGGGCTCTGTCGTGCTGATCGTGTTGTCTTTTCGCTCCTCTGTCTGCCAAAAGCTGGGCTGCAGACACCTTGGTGAGTCCGTCAGCAAGTTGGCATTTCAATCAGACCCATCAGCTCTTGCCATTGAGCTCTGCAAGCTCCCCCTCCTCGAGCAGGTCAGTGCCTAAGGACAGTCCAGTCTCAAAGCCGTTTTCGCTGCAACCATGGTTGCTCTTTGCGGGAGGGCCTGGTTGGTCTTGACAGTGGCAGTGAAGACTTGCAGGAGAACATTGAGGCGTGATCTGTGGTGAGCTCTTTGCATATGGCCGTGATGAAGCTTGACTGCCCTTTTGGAGTTATTCTTGCGTTTTTGAAGTGCCCCCGCGTAGGTTTGATGATCTGCACAGGCGTGGTAGAACGTCTCGTGAGCTTGTTCTCGGTCTCGCGGTTGGATCTTCAACGTGTCCGGTCCAGTAGCTCTGCTTGTTGAGACCGTTGCGGCTGTTGCGCCAGCAATCTTGCCGCGATTGATCATCAGCAAACCGAAAGGTGCATGGGCTTCTGGTCAGGGTCCTCAGCTTCCGCGCAGATTGCATCATCGGTCTTCCGCTTGTTGGGGTCGGCGTGGGTTGTCGTTCCCCTGTTGCGTAGGTCCAGGTGGCGCCACGTCCTCGAAAATGCAGCGGGAGGTGTCCTTGCACTCCTCCCAGTAGGCGGCCTCCTCTTCATCAATGGCATCCAGCAGTAGGCTGCTGACCGCGTAGAAGAGCCGTTCGAAGGCATCTCAACTCTGCCATTGTCTCGGCTCTGTAAGAGCGGCCTGCCCTTCGTCGTGAGCGCAACGACGTGCCGGAGGCCCGGGAGCCCTACAGCAGCCGACTCCATCACGAGCCTGAGGTCGGGCAAGAACGGTTCCAAGCCCGAGCTACAGTCCGCCGCGCGTTCATCTGCCTGCTGGCCTCCGTCAGTCTCTGCCGCGGCGGGCGGGCTTCTTGCAGGCAGTGCCCGTCAGGCTCGTGAGCCGGTTGATGGTGGCTTCGCTCTTCCAGAAGTAGCGCACCCAGTACTCCTTGTTTGTTGGGCGCAAAGATGCAGATGAAGTTGTCCCACCAGAGCCGTCGCCGCAATTGCTGAGCCATTGCCGGAGGATGCCGTGAGGTTGTGTTGGGCTTGGCGGCACCGCTACCAACTTGAAGATGTTGGTCTTCCCCCTGCTGCATACGAGGTCAGCAGGCCTGATGTTTTCCACACGGAGGCGGCCTAGATTCGAATGGCTGTGCAAAACTCATGTCAAGCAAGATTCGGGACGCAATCTTCACTTGTTGGTTCAAGGGCAGCCACAGCAAGGCGACCAATTTGGAGGTCCAATGCTAGCTTTTCAGACCAGCAGTGTGTTTGGTTCGCATTTACTTGGTGCAAAGAACAACGTCTGTTGCCCACCAGAAGTGTAGAAGATGTGTAGCTGGTTCTGTGATAATATCACATGATGAAGAGCATATATGGCTGGGTAGGGCGAGCAAGAGGGGGAAAGGTGATAGAGCGGAAGCAGCATGTATGATATAGGCCCAGGGCCTGGAAGTACGCGTTCCCCTTTCCACATGCGGACATACACCTTCCAAGAAGCCCCCGGTTTGGTTTCCTTCCATAAAGTGTACAGGGTGGCCACCAAGCTTTCTATGGCCTCCCAGTAAATTGGCGCCGTTTTTGGCATCTCTTTTTTGGCATCTGGCATGTCCTTCAAAGCGGCTAGCTTCCAAGGCCCCTTTAAAGCGACATTTGCTTGTCACCCCGCACCTCGCTTGCCCGCCCTTCTCCGAGGAATGGCGGCGCCGTTAGATCACCTCCACGACTCCAAAGGCGCGATCTACGCACTGCAGCTGAACCTCTACCGCTGGCTCCTCGAGCGACACGGCTGGTTAGCACGGGTGGATGGGGGTTGAGAATGAACCGGTCTTGGGGGATTCCCTGAAAGGAAAGCATAGTGATGGTTTATAGGGGTCATGTTAACTCATTCCCTGCTGCTTCTCATGTTTGCCACTGTAGATGGCTGGGGAACCCACCCCTATCCCGGTTTGGGTGGGCAGGCTTGGACTTGTGTTGGCTCCAGTCAGGAAGTGAGCTGCCAAATATCGCAAGATTTCTTTCACATTTAAACGGTGTTTTCCTTTTGATGTGTCTGCAATTACAACTAACAAGCATGGAAGTGCATAGACGCTTTGAGTTTCACCCGAAGGACCTACTACGGTGAGCGAGTGTCGCTGATGGTCCTCGTGTCCATTCACCCTGAGGCCGGACTCCATGTTGTCAGTCGAAAGCGAACTCCAAACGAGGCCTATTGCATAACAGGTCTGCTGTCAGGGGAAGGCGGGCTCATTCAAATTTCCCGCAAAAAATGTATGAAAGTTTCACTTAATGCAAGGCAGAATGCAGAACCCATCAAGGAGAACCTCTGGTATGAAGCCCTGTTGACGAATCTATGGCGTACCTGCGGGAAACCGTCCACCCAAGAAGCTTCCAATTGCCATGGGTGCATATGTGGGTCCACACTTCGACCTGACCGGCTTCCCGAAAAATGACCTGGGTGCTTCTCAAAGGGATTCGATGCCCTTTGATTGGCTTCTGGTTTCCCGCAAAAGGACCCAGCCAAGAGCCATGTTGCGAAAACTGTTGAAGGTGGAGAAATGATTGTGTTTCCTGCTGGAAACCCGACCGAACACCGACCGAAAGCCGCCCGCTGAGCCTCCACCGCCCCGTTTTTTCGGGTCACCCGCCATGGGCTCGCCGGTCGGTTTCAGGTGCTCTTCCACACGGCGGTGCCGGACCTGCGCGCGGAGGAGGGGGGTTTTGGGGGGTTCAAGTCGAAGCGCGGAGATGGACCTAAGAACCAGCCAAAACTTGGTGGTTCCCAGCCATCCCCTGAGGTTTTTAATTCCTTTTAGTGTTCAGTGGTAGTTTTCCGAATTTAACCCACTAAAAGTTATTCACTTTTAGCGCGGGATCTGACGGGCAGCCCAGAAAAAGAACAGCCCGGCTTAAATGGAGTTTTAGAGGGATCTGGTTTGCTACAGAGGTTTTGGGGGTAGGCCAAGATGTTTCTTTAACGGTACAGGTTTCCTTTGTAAACAAGCTTGAAGTAGAGTAACTAGTGTAGATTTGGTATCTTGCATCTTTCCGGGTCCCTGAAAATGGAAGTGGTAAAGTTGATTGATCAGTACCTATCGATGAGTTTCTTCTGGTGCTATTAAGCTTTGAGTGTTTCTATTTGTTATAAACAATGTGATTGAATCACTGGAATCCAGTGCCAGTCTGTGATTTTTGTCTGGTACCACTACCCTCCTGTCCACCAACATGAAACCCACCACCGGGTTCCTTTTACAGGAAAATCCATGTCAGTGGACAGGTCCATGCCGTCTCGCCGGCGTCTCTCAGGTGTCCTACCTCCTGGCGCGGCGCCGCGAGAGGCGAAATGGAGGGGTTCCCCCTCCTCCAGGGAAACCAAAAGGAAAGCCACCCCCTTCATTCCCCAACCAGTTGACTCAAGAGGGGAAAAATGGGGAATGATGGGGAATGAAGGTGCCTTTTCCTTTGGAGGGACCACCCCCCTTTTGTTGTAAGTGGTCCCCTACAAGAAGGAGACGCCCCAATGAAAATTTGGGGTCCGCTTTTTATTGGTATCAAAAGGGAAAACCCTTTGGGGTAACTTCTGGTTTTAATAGTTGGGTTTAAAAGGGAAGCCGGAAGGAAACCTTCTGCACGGCACCATCCTGTCCATGGAACAAGAGTCCGGTTTCGGGAAGCCAGGAAGCCCAAACGCCGTTTGCGGGTCGATTTGGAGTTGCAAGCCATCTTGCACCCAACTGTACCGAGTTGGCACATCTGCCAAAAATGGGGTGCCTCAGAAAACAGACACACCTTTTTGTGGAACATGATTGGTTTCTTTGGGTTGTTTTGCCATTCCCTTCAGGTCAAACCAACCTCTTTGGGCATGTCTTGTGTGAGGCGCAGCACCTTTTTGGTGGCGCTTGGCCTTTGGTAAGGAAAAATCCAGCACTCCCAATGGACACAGTTCGCCCATGTCCCAAACCCATGGGTCCACCCCGGTGAGAATAGGAGACGCTGAAAGGATGCGTTTCCCCAAACCTTCCCAAGCCAATGCTCAGTAAAACCGCGAAAAAGCCAAAACAGGCCCCCCCAAATGCTTCATGCTGGTTGTCCGAACCTCGTGCGTGTTCTTTGCCATAGAACTTTTGTCAAAAGTGTCCTTTCCCACCAAATCTCTGCCTTGTGGGTCAAATGGGGAAGACTAGCAAAAGGGGGCTCCCGAATTTGGCGTGCCCTTTTTTCCTGATACAAGCCCCGCCTCTCGGTCACCACGTGAGCAGAGCCCCAATGCCCCAGTCAATGGGTCATAATCAAAACCAGGCACAAGAATGGTTCTCCCAGAACCATGTAATGGTTGGGATCGTCCCTTGCTAACATTCATCTACCCGGGTTTTGATTGTGACTCATGGGTCAGGTACCAGGCCCAGCTGAGGGCGGAGCAAATGGCGCCTTTCTGGCTGCGCTGCGCCCACACGGGCCAGCTCATGACGGAGCCTGTGCTGCTTGGGGACAGGCAGGGACCCCCACGGCACGGGGTAAAACGCGCGCGAGTCATAGTGTCGTTGACTTGAGTGTCCTTATTTGGGTATGGGTCAAAATTAAACCACCAGGGGACCACATGTTTTAGTCATTGTTTCCATTTACCTGGGTGCCATTTTGGGTACCATTTTTTGACCCACAGCCATTTCAGGTTCTGAAAAAATGGCAACAAGTGCCAGGTTCTGTCTCAAAATCGCGGAGACCCAAAGATGGCTGTTGCTGTGCCTTTGCTTTCCCTCTCAAAGCAACCGCCAAAAGGGTAAAACCGAAAAACCTGCCGAGCCAACCCACCCACGAAATATTGGAACATGTCCAGCAACATAAAGGTTCTGCACATGTTACGCACAATGTTGCTGGTGCCTTGCAGTACTACCACCACCACCACCACCACCACCACCACCACCACCACCACCACCACCACCACCACCACCACCACCACCACCACCACCACCACCACCACCACCATCGAGCCTTCTGGAGAGTTCATGCTGGTGTGGAAGGCATGGCTTGTGTTTTGGGGCTCCGCGAGTTGATCCTTCGATTCACGGTAAAAGCGGAGAGGCAGAGGCCATAGGCCAGCTGCAAATCCGAGGGGGTCGTGTCACAGGGATACGGGGCTTCAGCAAAGCGGCTTCTTGCTGCGTTGCAAGCAAGCAACCTAGAATCAGGGCTGATTTTCGCAGCCCGCACCATGGTGTTGTTGTTTTTTCCTTTTCTTGGATTCCCATTTAAGAATCCTCCGTTCTTGGATTCCCAAAAAAGAGAAACGTGAGAATGACGACGGGGTCGCAAGGGGTCAAAGTTCCCCCTGCCCCTTCCCCCACCGCAGATGCTACCAGCGGTCCTGCGCGAAGCGCCTGCTGCGCAGCGGCGAGGACCTGCCGCTGCAGCCAGAGGTTTGTGAGGCGAGGGATCTGGGAAGATTTGGTGGGGGTCGGGGGGGGGGGGGGTCAAAATGGGTGGTTTTGACAGGTGTCAGTATTTTGACGGTTTCTGGGGGTTATCAAAGTCAGAAAATGGGGGTGTTTCCCAACAACCCACCACTGAACGGGGGTGACTTTGATCATGGTAAAATCATGAGGCCAGTTTAAGAGGTTGAACGGGAGGAAAGCTGCCATGTTGGGGGCGCCCTTTTGTTTAGAAAGAGAAACCAGAAGGAAACAGCCCAAGATGGGGTGAAGGGTTCTCCTATTTCCCACGCCCTCCTTTCCCGCATCCCACACCTCCTTTGTTCCTCAGGCTCTTCGTTCGCTGCTTGCATCAGTCGAGCCGCCGCAGCCGGCAGAGCCGGAGCCGCCGGAGCCGCTGCCAAATCGCAGGGACTGGGAGGAGCGTTTTGCGATCGGTGCTTGGTGGTTGTTGTTCTCGTTTGAAAGTCGCCTTACCCCAAAAAGCTGGTTTGGTTTGGTGGGCCTTGGGGGTTTTCACAAACAGCTGGGGGTCAAATCACCAAACCAATACAAAGCGCCAAACAACAGGTAGCTGAATCAGGGGCTAAGTCATCCGAAGCCCTAGAATCTCAACCAGAGTGGATGACGCATTGAAACTTCACCTCAAACCTTCTGCTCGCAGTTAGTTTCGATTTGGAAAGCAAAACATCGACCCCCTTGTGGTTTTTCGGTCCATGGCTTCCTATGCAAGGAGCTCATGCCGCCTGAGGGCCTGACGTTGAAGGAGATGTGACAAATTCGAGGAATTCGATGCGCACGCACGCGAAAGGTCGAGAAGAGTCTGCTCCCAGTAGTGCCCTTCTCTCCCCATTTTTGGGGGGAGGGTTCCCCTACTAAAATAGACTACAGAAAAAAGGTTCTAATATTCTAACCTCTCTACTGGAGGACCTAGACAACAACGATGGCCCCCAAAATGCTGGTGTTTGCTGTGACAACAAACAATCCCACAAATGGGTCTCGAACAAAATGTCCCCATGTGGCAGGGTGATCTTGTCCTCACTCCGCAAGTTCCCGGACTTGAGTTTCATTTTTTGGCAAGGCCACTTTGGGCAAATACAAGGGGGCCGGGATTTGTCAACCCAAGCCTTCACGTGTTCTGCCCGGGTCCCGGGGTCCCAAAAAGCAGAAGGCACAAACAAGGAACAAGAAGCAGAAGGAACCCTACGGCGCAAAAATGCGGCTGGCCGCGGCCTGTGCAACGCCAACGTGAGCGCTGAGTCCAATGCACGGCCTAGCCATGGCGTTTCGCCAACGCGCGATTGCGATGGCTTGGGATCCGTTCCCTTGGTGGATTCCATGCTCATCGGGGAAAAACGAGACCCCGCGGTTCGGTTTCGGCGACGTCTTTCAAGGCGTCCAAAGCCGCCAAAGGCCTTCGCTTGTTGCCATCCCAATCCCAAGCTGGATGAAGCTCGCGGCGATCCGAAGCGCGTGAAAGAAACCCAGGGTGGCCTTTTGTGCTGCGCTTCTTCCGCGGTTTGGTTGGGGTAAAAGCCCAAAGACACACCCACGACCCTGAATGAGGATGCTTGAGCAGTGAGATGTTTGGTTGAAAAGGTGGTTGGCCGAACTGAGAAGAACGCGTGTGGAATTTGTGAACTTCAAGCTGGAGGTCCTTCACTTTTAGGATGCCAGTCCCAAACTCCAGTCCCGAAGAAAGAGTGCGGTTGCAATATTGTCCCGGATAAGAGTTTTCATCAGGGGGCTGGTTTCCCCAAATGCGTTCTGGATCCCCACTAGAAAGGACACCCCCCCCTTCATCAACCGGGGGTTGATTTATCCCAGGTCAGCATTAAGAGAGCGAGACAGCGTGGAACACCAAAGGAGGGCAGGGCTTGCGCCCATTCCACAGTTTGCCTGGGTGAACTCCCAAAATGGCTCGTTTCTGCTTGAGGTTCCCGTCTAAAAACGAAAAACGACCCAAGGATCACAAGAGGCACCTTGGCATCTTAGACCAACCACCAATCAAATAGTCCAAACGGGGTGACTGAAATTCAAGGAGCCAAGAGACACCCAGATGCCTCGAGGGAACCCCCCAAGCAAAAGACGTGAGGGGTATCAACTCCCAAGAAAGACAAACTCCAGCGGGCTGTAGGAAATTGTCAGGTTTTACATTGGCAATTGGGGTGGGGGGGGGGGGGCAATTTGAGGATTGTTCCGATTTGGGGCTTAGGGCGCCTCTAGCGTTGCCAGGCGCTGCTGGACTTGTGAGGCGGGGATCGCCAAGGGAAGCCCTGGATGAGTCAAACCCAATCAAACCTCGTGGCGAAGCCAGGAATTTCCTCCTCCCCGAAATGGTATCAGGAGGTTCCCAAGCAAAGTTCACGCCCACGAGACCTCAATTGGAATCCCCTCTTTTCTTTTCCGGGGATTCCCCGGGTGGTTTTGCAAGTGTGGCTTTGCCCGGGACGGTCCGTTGAACGACGGCGTTGGCATTGAGACAAAAAAAGAGGCGAGCCGTGTCGAAAACTGTCGAAACCGCCGAAACCGAAACCGCGGTGAGAGCCGCAGGGGTCAGTAGCTCAGCTTCAGAGAAAGGTTCTTTCTGTTTTTCGAGGTGCACTTCTTGAGACCACGAAGTGGGCGAGAAACTTGAGTTCCACCGGAGCTTCATGCTTCAAGGGCTGATGAATCTACAAGGAAAGCGCATCGTTTTGGAACGCGAAATTACAATCGTTTTGAAACGCGGAATTATAATCGAGAATTGTAATCGTTTTAGAACGCGTATATCTTTCCGGTCTCCTGGTTGTCTGGTTTTCTGGTTTTTCCGGTCTCCTGGTTTCCTGGTTTCCTGGTTTCTCCGGTTTCCAGGTTTTCTGGTTTTCTGGTTTTCTGGTTTTCTGGTTTCCGTCTTTTCCGGTTTTCTGGTTTTCTGGTTTTCTGGTTTCTCTGGTTTCCTGGTTTCTCTGGTTTTCTGGTTTTCTGGTTTTCTGGTTTTCTGGTTTTCTGGTTTTCTGGTTTTCTGGTTTTCTGGTTTCCGTCTTTTCCGGTTTTCCGGTTTTCTGGTTTTCTGGTTTTCTGGTTTCTCTGGTTTCCTGGTTTCTCTGGTTTCCTGGTTTTCTGGTTTTCTGGTTTTTCCGGTCTCCTGGTTTCCTGGTTTCCTGGTTTCTCCGGTTTCCTGGTTTCCTGGTTTTCTGGTTTTCTGGTTTTCTGGTTTTCTGGTTTCCGTCTTTTCCGGTTTTCTGGTTTTCTGGTTTTCTGGTTTCTCTGGTTTCCTGGTTTCTCTGGTTTCCTGGTTTTCTGGTTTTCTGGTTTTCTGGTTTTCCGGTTTTCTGGTTTTCTGGTTTCCGTCTTTTCCGGTTTTCTGGTTTTCTGGTTTTCTGGTTTTCTGGTTTCTCTGGTTTCCTGGTTTCTCTGGTTTCCTGGTTTCCTGGTTTCCTGGTTTCTCCGGTTTCCTGGTTTTCTGGTTTTCTGGTTTTCTGGTTTTCCGGTTTTCTGGTTTCCGTCTTTTCCGGTTTTCTGGTTTTCTGGTTTTCTGGTTTCTCTGGTTTCCTGGTTTTCTGTTTTTTCTGGTTTTCTGGTTTTCTGGTTTCCGTCTTTTCCGGTTTTCTGGTTTTCTGGTTTTCTGGTTTCTCTGGTTTCCTGGTTTCTCTGGTTTCCTGGTTTTCTGGTTTTCTGGTTTTTCCGGTCTCCTGGTTTCCTAGTTTCCTGGTTTCTCCGGTTTCCTGGTTTTCTGGTTTTCTGGTTTTCTGGTTTTCTGGTTTTCTGGTTTCCGTCTTTTCCGGTTTTCTGGTTTTCTGGTTTTCTGGTTTCTCTGGTCTCCTGGTTTCTCTGGTTTCCTGGTTTTCTGGTTTTCTGGTTTTCTGGTTTTCTGGTTTTCTGGTTTTCTGGTTTCCGTCTTTTCCGGTTTTCCGGTTTTCTGGTTTTCTGGTTTTCTGGTTTCTCTGGTTTCCTGGTTTCTCTGGTTTCCTGGTTTTCTGGTTTTCTGGTTTTTCCGGTGTCCTGGTTTCCTGGTTTCCTGGTTTCTCTGGTTTCTCTGGTTTCCTGGTTTTCTGGTTTTCTGGTTTCCGTCTTTTGCGGTTTTCTGGTTTTCTGGTTTTCTGGTTTCTGTGGTTTCCTGGTTTCTCTGGTTTCCTGGTTTTCTGGTTTTCTGGTTTTCCGGTCTCCTGGTACGACAGGCTTTTGATTGTGAACCATCGGAATCTCTCCCCATTATCGGGCTCCTCACTGGAAGCAGTTCCCAACAGCCGAATCCTGTACGATCAGCAGCTTGCGGATCACGCGGATTGCGGATGCCGAGCTGCATGGATTTAGCTTTACATGCTCCAGTAGAAGGCTTGAATCGCAGTTTGTAGCACGGATTACGGGGTGAAGAAGCTACAAGCTAGCGTAAGGATGATGCAGATTACAGATTATGCTCATGCCAGCCCCTTTACCGGATGTTGATCAGTCTAGGGTTGTCTACTCTGTTTGTACAAGAATCCTTAGAACACTGCCCCCCGGCCATGCGCTGCTTCATGCGAAAGCATGTGGCGCTGTGCTGCCTGCTGCTGCTAGCGGGCACACTGGTGCCTCCTGCTGCTGGCGTGCTGACGCGGCCGAGTTTTACCTATACGCGCTGGAGGCGCCCGAAAGACTCGCTGATTCTTTTGTTATGTGGCGTGAAGCATTCTGTGGCTGGACTATGCACGTGAGCACGGCGCAGGCTGCGTCGCCGCCATCTGCGCGCTGCTGTGCCGAATTGCCGCTACACGGCATACGAGAACACCATTGGCTAAGGTGTTGAGCAATCGCAGCTACATAGCGAGGTGTGTTGGCTAGCCCCTCCATGCTGGTGAAAACTTGAGCCCATTGAGCGCAGTCTCTAGGATTTTTTTCCCCCGCCCGATCTTTCCCCAGAACTGCCCAGTGCCAGGTGTCTCGGCAGGACATCGAGAAGAATGTGACAACGATGAAGGTATGCGAAGCATGATTTGGAGCAGCTATGCGACATGGAGGGTTACTACGAGACCAGTCAACGGGCATGTTTCATGTTTTTCTGGATTCAGATGCGCAGATGGCAGGTTGTCAACCCTTGTGGTCTGGGCATGTCCATGGGAAGCATAGACAGGACCCTTGCTACCTTGTAGTAAATCATTGGCTTATCTTGGCCGGGCCTAGACACTTTGGTTACGAGATGTAGTTATAAAGCTTTTTATTTGTGCGGCGCACCTGTTAAGATACGGCCACGAAGTACCTCGGACAGTCGAGCCATGTCTTCTTTATGAGCCCTACTGTTTATGGAAACATGAGAACGTGACCCACAGGAACGAGATGTTCCATAGCAACGTGAAGGATTCTCCCCTATTATGGGACACCTCAGTGAAACAGTCCAGCCACGGGTCCATTCGTCCTCCTTCATTTTTGCATCATAGTCGACTTACGAATATGATCACGGGATCTTTCTGATGTTACCTTGGGCTCTGTGTAGAAATTTGGGTTCTATATCTTGGAGGGTGCGTGGGCCTGTTTATACAAGGCCTCTGGGTTTTGGGGGGGGGGGGGGTCCGGACTATTCCTTAAATGCAAAAGCTATTTACAAATTAATGAAAGCTATTCCCAAAAAATACCGGACTTTTTCTAATCTTTTCTTGCAAGATCATTCAACACGGTGTCAACCTAGTTGGGAATGCAAAAGCAGAATCCCGCCCGCAACTTGAGTGGTAAGTAAGCAGGTGGACAAGTTGCGGGTGGGAAACTGAGGGAAGACCGAACAGGGGATATGTGATGTGTGTAGCGCATGGGATCAAATAGAAAAATAGTTCCCCAAAAATGTTGAAGCGCTTCAAAGGGCTGACATCCCCATATGGAATGACATTCTCAATCTGTTTGGCTAATCCTTCGTCTTTGAGCCCAGTACCGAAACCATTGCCAGGCCATTGTCAATTGAACCCTCATTCATTCATATTTGAGTTGAGGGCTGGCTCCTCCAACAAACTTCCGACCCTAGAACCCCTGGTTACTGATATAGCGCAATGCTGCAAGGCCTGTATGAATCTTGAGAGTTGAGGGAAAATCACTATCTACCGGACCCGAATTACAAACTAGAAGACAGGTGGCCCGAAAGCATTTTTGCGGCGCTCGTGCTCGTGCTCTCGGAAAGTAGCGGCGCGCAAGTGCTCTGCGCAAGTTGTTCTGCGCAAGTGCTCTGCGCGAGCGCGCTGCGCAAGTTGCTCAGTCAGCACATGCTGCTCTGCGCAAGTTGGCCTTTGCAAGTGCTCTGTGGAGGTGCGCTGCCCAAGTTGCTCAGCGCATGCAAAGCACGCCGGGTGCCAGGGCCCGGCCAGTCAGCACATGCTGCTCTGCGCAAGTTGGCCTTTGCAAGTGCTCTGTGGAGGTGCGCTGCCCAAGTTGCTCAGCGCATGCAAAGCACGCCGGGTGCCACGCCGCAAAGCACGCGGGGGGTGTGTGTCGGGGGCGGGCGCGTGCTCGGCGCGCGCGCGCGCGCGCTCCGGAGCGCGCGCGAGCGCGCGCGCGCGCGCCCCGCGCGCTCCCGCTCTCCCGCGCGAGCGCGCGCGCGCGAGCGCCCCGCGCGCTAGGGCCGACCCGACCCTTTCATAAATAGAAGGCCGGACTATTCCCACAATTGCTCGGACTATTCCCAAAACTGCCCGGACTATTCCCAAAACTGCCCGGACTATTCCCAAAGGTGCCCTTCCGGACTGTCCATTCTTATTAGCGCATCAGTACCGCGTTACTTTCCTCAACCAAGAGTGACCAAGGACCATAGGGACTAACAGACAGTGGCAGTCTCAAACAGGTCTTAGCCCGTTGTTACTTTGACTCATGTTCGTTTGCCTCAAAACAGTCTGACACTCTTGTGTGATGTGTACTGCGTACTGTGTAACTGTGTAACTTTAACTTAGTAGATATCTATTCATATTTCCATCACACATACACATAAAACAGAAGAGTTGTTAAGTTCATAACAATGACTACTTCTAAGTTAAGTACAGTATATGATCATGTGTTTTATCTTTCATCCTTTGGAGCATTTTGGAAATAGCTCGAAACCGTCCGGGACCGTCCGGGACTAATTCTAAAATCATATTTAGAATTAGCTCGAAACCGTCCGGGACCGCTCGGGACTATCGCTGCAAGTAGTCCGGATATAGTCCGGATTAGTCCGGATTAGTCCGAGGTTAGCATTAGTCCGGAACCGTCCGGGACCGTCCGGGGCTATTTCTAAATTCAAATTTAGAATTAGCTCGAAACCGTCCGGGACCGTCCGGGACTAATTCTAATCCACCGACATATGCAAACATCATACCATATCACATCATATCATGTCATATCACCATACCATTGATCATCAGCATAACATGAGACAGCTTAGGCTTACTAACTTAACTTAAGTATGAACAACAACAATCGCAAAATACATTAATCAACGCTGTCAGCAAGTAAATTAGCACAACTACTACAACAGTTGCACAAGTTTCGTAAGACTCCACTGTTAAGTTGATGTGTAGCGCAGTGCGCACTTCAAATTGTTGTCAGTCATTGCGGCACTCAGGCACTCGGCAACAGAAACCATGCATGTTTCCTTAGAAATAGCGTGGGCGTGTTTAGCGATAGCTTTGGTCATTTAGAAATAGTCCAGAGGGGGGGTGGGGGTCAAAACAGTCAAACAGGCCCAAGCACCCACCAATCTATATCCTTCCAGTTGTCCTTGTTGAGATTGAACAGGGTTTCTCACCTTCAGACTTCATATGATGATTTCCCAACTTACCATGTAACGGGCGCAATGCAAAGCATGCAAGGTAAGAGGTGGCAGGCTGGAGGTCCGCGAGGTTGATGCAAGGCGTACGACCGGAAGCTAATGTGACAACGAAACAGAAGACGCTAATAGAGCGACGGATTAATGCGCCAGCCTCATGTCCTTGTAACTTAGGCGACGACAGCTGCAGGGGCCACTGGACACGGCAAGTGCTATGTGGCATGGACTCCGAAGCACGTGCAGACCCAGCTGTGGTGGTGCAGCCAGAGTGCTTGGAGGAACTCGGCCTGCCTCCGTGGTTGGCTCGACAGGCAGCGCAGGCATATCCGCACGACTTGGCTCGCGCTGCTGACTGGGCCTTTGACTCCATATCTCGACACAAAGCGCCTTGTATCAGACACGAAGCGAGCCCCACGTGCTTGCGTGCTGCATTCGCTGCTGTCGCAGATGGTGGTGTCTTGGCCATATCCGAAGCGCCGCAGCAGACTTGGAGACTTCCTGCTTTGGCTCCATTCAAAGCCCGCCCTTAAGGGTGTTAAGCAAGACAGACCCAAAGCTTTTAAACATGCTGATCTCTGAAGCCAAGGTCTTGTGACTGCTGATGTAGGGATGTGGGGGAGGCTAGGTAGCAATGTGGCGCGAAGACCCAGGTGCTAAGTACAAAGTAGCTGACACCTTATTGTGCTTGTTTTCCAGCTTTGCGTTGCTTGTGTCTCAGCGCGAATGATGCAGGTGAGGCAAGGTCGGAGCCCCACGCATCTTCAGCATCCTCAGCATTGTCTTTCACCTATCCCGCGTCACCTTTGTGCCCATGACACTGTGCTTTCCCGGAGCCCTCCTCACATCACTTGCCCCTGCATCCGTGACAACGGTGGGCTTCCGCACCCCTGTTCCACGCTTTTGGATTTTGTTTTGGGTCCCTCGCACAAGGGCAGTTTGCGGCCTCTCTTGCATGCTGGGAAACCTTCGCCTCGCCAAAGCATCGCTGTTGCATCTTCTCTTGCAGACCCCTGTCCCTCTTAACAACCCGTTTGTTTGGAAGCCCATCTTGCATGCCTGTAAATCCTCGCCTCGCCAAGCGCGTTGTTTGAGAGTCCTCGCCACCTCCGCACCCATGACGCTGTTCTGGATCCCCTCTTCCATACGTACTGCTTTTGGCGTCAAGCCCCTGCTCTTGGGCCGCAAAGTGCTGAAACTTTTGAAATCGCGCAACTTTTTTTTCTTCGAGGAAAGGAGCCCACAGAAAGCACGCCTCGCTGATCACGAGCAAATTGAACTAACTTGAGTTTGGTTCGCGCAGCTGAACAGATTTAGGGTAGCCCCAAAAGACGCTGCATGTGAACGAATAAGCTGGACTCAGTGTGGCAGCACTGCTTGCATGTGCCGAGCTTGGACGGGCTAGAGGTAGTGTAGTTCTCGCCGTGGTGAGGTGAAATAGAGGAAGACGACCGGAGATCAGCAGCTGCCGCCGCAGTTGACCTGTTATATGACAGAGCAGGCGCGCGCACCCGGGTTCACCGCATGGAGCCTGACATAGGTACGTGCATGCCGCAGGTGTCTTCTCGTCAGTTGGGCGTTTGCGACGCAGGTGATATTGCTCCCAGACTGCCGCCCTCGCCGTCCACCAGCCATGTCAGCGGCTCGGCCAAAAGAACTGCCAGGACGTGGGTGTCGTTGAAGGTCAAACTAAGTGCACGAGTGTTTTCTGGGGAAGAAAAAGACTATGTGGCGTTGGTCCGATAGGTGCCGTCCCGACTACGGATGCTGCGCCCAGTGACCGAGAGAAGGCTTTTTGCGCCTTGGCCAGTTTCTGGTGGCCTAGATTTCCGCAAATCCCTGACGGATTCAGCGCCATTCTTGTCATTTGTTTCACAGCGTCCTTGTGGAAATGTTACCCGAGGTGAAGAATTCTGGAAACGGCGGCAGACAGCCTTAGATGAACATGTTGGTCGACTCCTGGAGCATCATACGCGAGCGGACCTGAGCGTAGACGGCGTGCGCAGCTTGTTCGAGCAGCTACCTGCGGAGTGGCCGGATGAGGACACCTCCTATGACTCCATGAGACTTGTGATGCGTCGAGAGCTCCAGATTTTGCGGAGCAGAGCTCAAAGCACCTGCAACCATGCAATTGCGGACGCGGCCCAGCAGCCGTTGGACTTATGCCGGCTGATGCCATGCTTTAGCTTGGCAGTGATCATTCGGTTCAGCTCTGCTTGTGGGTTTCCCGAGGAATTTGTCAGGAGCTCAGTGCCCAGTGTCTCATTGAGGGGTGCGCTGTGATTGGTGACGGTTTGATGGGGGCGCAAAATAGAGGCAGCGCAAGAGGCAACTGGCATGGCATTGGATGTTTGCCTATGATGCTGCGTCAATCCAACACACCCATGAGATACTGAGGTCTTCGGTTGGCTGCTTTCCTTTGGCACATGGCTTCTGCACAAGGATCTGCACGCCCGCCTCAATGTTCGCAAGCCTGAATGGGTGACGAGACCTCGCTGTCACGTTATAACGACGGCGGAGTCGGGTGCTGGCAAGAGCCCATTTTATGACATGGCCTGTCAGTCTTGCTTTGTATCTTCAGCCTCATGTGCGGCTCTTGTGGAGACCCATCGACAGCTTTTTTCCCAGTGTGGTCCCAAGGGGCATGTTTTTGGATGCGGCAGCGACGCTGACTTCACGCAGCGCATGGATGCCTCTGGCGGCACTTTGATGTGGATGACAGACGAAACCGTGACCTGCTTAGACTGCGACTTCCTGAGCGGCGCCTCCCGTAGCAAGGATGCTTCGAAAGTCGATATGCAAAGCATCTTGAGCTGCCAGAACGGGGGCTCTTTTGGACCGAAGAGCATCAAAAGCCAGCGCCCAGCCGCACGTGTTAATCTCATGTGATGTGTCGCCAATATCCCGCCCACGCAGCGCTGCACACATGCCTTCCAGTTGGCAAGCGCGCTCTGTTCAGGTTTCGTGCCCCAAACAGAGTGTGTACACGAAGAGGTTCGTTCAAATCCTGCCAAGAGATCTTATCAAGAGATCGTCTCCAGAAATCTTGGCCGGGAGTTCCTACCAAGAGATCCTACCCCTACATGTTGCGCAGGTATCCTGCAAAGATCTTCCCGCGAATATATCTTAACACGGTCAAGGCCTAGCGTAGGAGATGCGTTAATTTCCATGCAAAAAATATCATTGGCGATGCTTCCTGCAGATCTTGAACAGAAGACTCGTACAGTTTCTACCCCCAGAGATCCTACCAAGATTGTCCACAGACATCTCGCGCCGACCGCGCCTTAAAAAAAAGAAAACGCTCAAGAGATTTCGCGCAGGACCTGCCAGGGTTTCACGTCGAGACATCTGCTAGAGGACGCCATCTACGGATCCTGAAGCGAGCCCGTAGAGGGTTATCGTTCCTGTACACAGACATTGGCAAGAGATCATACAAAGAGATCCTGTCTAAAGATCCTACAAAGGTCCTTCCGCAGAGATCTTGTCCAGGAATCTACAGAAGCATTAACAGCGGAACCCCTATCCACAGGAGATCTTCTGTAGGAGCTTCAGAAGGCCTCATCTGATGAGCGCGCGCAAGACCTTCTTTAGAGAATGTGTGTGTGCTACTTTCATGTTACTTATGCGGGTTCCTGTCTCCTTATTTGACCACTGCTTGGGGTCCCTTGCCGGGATAGGTATGTGATAAACGGTGATCTGCATTAACCGATGGCCCAAAGACAAAGCTGCGTTTCGCATGGCATGCGTGTGAAATCAGAAGTATGCTAGGCTGCGTTGTCATATCGACGTCCGCTAACATGCCGGTGCAGCGTTCCTGGACGTGTTGAAAAATGTGTTTTTCAATGGACAGAGCTTTCTTTGCGGCACGGACGAACATGGGCATCTATTTAGCAGGACAACCCCGAGCGATTCACGATGGCATTGGCGCAGTATTCACACGATCCTCGCGTATGCGGGGGCTGGGGCTGGTGCACCGGTTCAATTACTTTTGGGCTGACGGCATGGATGCCTCAGACGATGAGACTGATCCTGTTTGTTTTAGATGTGCCCTCAGCTTTCTTCAGGAGGTGTGGGTGTCTGGGCGGCAGTCGCAGCACCAGCTTTGCGTTGCGTTTCTAGCGACGGCGAGAGTGGTAGTAAGCGCGGCCTAGGTCCGCATGGCGCAGAAGTTCGGGCACGGCGTAGATGATACGCAGCTCACGCCTCTGCAGTGGGAATCCGAGGCTCAAAGGCTGTATAATGAATGCGCGAAGGAGCTCAACAGTCTCGCCAAGGAGGTGCCAAGTTTTCTTCGCCCGACGGTCAAGAAACACTACTTTCAAAGCACGAGCCCCGCACTATTGGCTCATCTATACGCGCAATGCTTGCGAGCGAACACGGAGGGCTTGGCTGACGGCTGGAATGCTCTGCCACCTGCGGCAGTGCTGGCGCTGCCTAGCTGGTTATGGCAGCAGCTCTACAGCTTGAACGTCATCCGGAATGAGATGCAGTTACCCCCCGAGTTGCGATCTGATCCGCCAATTGAGTGCACGCCAGCAGCCGGCGGCGCAAGAGCGGAAGAGATTAGTCAAGAAAAGTCGGCGGCTAAGTCGGATCTGGATGGTGCTCTGTCAAGTCTAGGTCTTCAGGAGGCATATGTCAGGTTTTGGCGGCCATCGGCGCGTAAAAGCCTAACTGTCAGCATCCGGCCAAGGTCAGACCTGATTCGTCTGCTGCAGAGGCACTACCACGACAAACATATCACTCTTGCCCATGTCTACGCAATCCGCCGAGTCTATCGCGGCAACATGGATCGTGTCCAGAGTCTGTTCCAGCTAGCTGTGCAGCATGGAGCGGGTCAAGTGGAAGGATCACATGCAAGTGGAGGGCCTCGAACACGCAACCAACACCCTTTCCGCTTGAGACTCACCTTGGCATCCATGCCCGAGGAGCAGCGTTTGGCACTCAGAGTTGTCACTGGCTTGCAGCGCTCACTGCCGGCTGTGGCGTCGCGAGCGATTTTGGACTTGGGGGGGTCATGGGGGGGCCGACGACATGCCTGCGTGCCCCTACACTTGGCAGCAGCCGCTGCGCTCTCAGACCTGCCGCCGCAAATGCGGAGAAGCCTCATTGCTGCGGCGTGGGCGGTGGCGACGGAAAATTCCTTGCCCTTGGACATGACACCTCGCCCAAATGCCTCCCCATGGACACTGGAGAAGTATCACATCATGCTGTGTGAATGCAATGTGTCACAAGAAGTTGTGTATGTAGCGGGCGGAGCGTCATCCCCCTTGATGAGCTGGCGTATGGGTGCGAAGCAGGGTGGCCATCAGCTCCTCCTGGTAGTTGATGTGGAGGCAGAGCATTGCAGTCTGTTGCTGGAGGATCCGAACCACCCAGAGGCACTATGCGTCCATGAGACGTGTCACGTGCAGTGTGCTGACATCTAGTAATGTTATCAAAATGCCCTGGCAGCGGTCCCCATTCAAATCTGTTGTTTGCACAAGATAACTTCGACGTGTCGGTTCTTGTCCGTAAGTGCTTGCGGGTTGTCTTCGTGTTCAGTTTTCATGTTCAGATCTTTTAAAAATAACCCTGACGCAGGCTGCGGCCAGTTCGAGTGACGCACCGTCAGCAGGCGGCTGTGATGCGCATGAGCTCACGACTTCTCGCTTCAAGGCGGGAGACTGCGCCATTGCGTGGACGCAGGTGTAAGATACGCACGCGGCTTCGAATAATTATGCGCAAAAGGTGCTGGTTGGCTGGGGGCTGGCTATGTGCACATGTTCAGGATAGCCGATGTCTAGTATTCATCTCACAGTGCAAATTGCATAAAGGCATTGTGCAGACGTCCTGCACGTTTATGGTCTAATCTTCCGGTTATTGTTGATTTTGACGCAGGACTCTCGGAGCTTTATAGGTTATGTTTTATTTGTTTTCGGCGCGATGCAGGCGGGCGGACCAAAAATGATTGCGGGGCCAAAGAAGAAGCCTGCGAACAGAGTTCTCAAGCGTCCAGCTGCGAACGGAATTCTCAAGCGCCCAGCTGCGAACAAAGTACAGAGACCATTAGCATCGCAGGATGAAGATGAATCTGCTGAGTTCACTCTAACAAAACCGGAGGTGCATGAAAAGCCCCCGTGGAGCCGCGAAGCGTTTGTGCAGAAGCTGCGTCAATGGGCGCGTGCGAGCCGCAGGCAGCCTACATCAATCAAGGTGAGCCGGAATGATTGGCATCGAGAGAACTACTACTATCGCTTCCAGTGTAGTTCTTGCGCCAGAGGTTGCGCCTGGAGAGGCGCTGCGAGCTACGAGGTTGATGCCAGACGCTACTCCTTCCGGGCCACATCGGTCTCTCAACAGTCTATTGGCAGACGACGCTGGGGCGACTCTGGCCTGACCCGGGTAGTGAAAGACATCATTCGCGAGTATCTACTGCAGCATCCCGGCGGAGCACGGCTGCAACACATGATGCAGGCGCGCGCGAGCTTTTTGTGTCGCTCTGCTGGCCCTTGGGGACAAACACGCATGGTGTCATGTAGTCTCTTCCGAGCGAAAAGCTAGAGCTCGCGTGAGTCAAACCGCTAAGCTGACGTGTTGCTTGGGCAGACCCTCGGAGGATGTTCTTCAGGTTTCGACATGCTCTCGGGCAGACCAAGACAATTTTTGTTATTCTGCGCTTGCTGCATTGTAAACAGACGACCTTTAGACTCTGTCTATCCTTTATAAATGGGTCGGTTGTCGACACCTGTTTGCCAAGTCTCACGAGTCGCTTCACCCATGCTCTTGCCATGACCTGCAACATGATCACGCTCCGTCAGGTGTTGAACCACCGGGTTGACGACCTGGACGTCCCTGTACCTGCGGAGAAGCTAGTTCGCATCTATTTGCAGAATTTGAGACAGCGTGACGAAAGCATACAGCAGGCCTGCGCCTTGCATCGGGGGGCTCAGCCGAAGGGAGCGTGGAGACTTGCCGACTTTCAGGTGCTACAGCGGACGATGCCTTCCATAGATGACCCGGACTTGCCGCAGCAAGGCCTTGTGTTGGTCAACTGTCACCTCAGCGATGAGCACCTTTGCATATCCCTATGCAACCCCACATTGACCAGGAGGCACTGGGCTTTGTATGAGAACAAAGCGTACATCAAAATATCAACGGACGGTGTCTATCGTATGTGCAACCAGACCTGTGCCTTGTGCTTTGTGGGACTGCTGGGAAAGGCCATTGGCACACACAGAGATATGAACAGAGCCCGGTGTATTGTTTCCCGACATCTTTTCGAGAGCTCATGGTGTGCATTGTCTCGACAGAGCACTCTGTAACTTACGAGAGGATGTTTCAGGATCTCGACCACCTGATGCACAGATTGTGCGGCGTGCCTCAGTTCTCTGCCTTGGTGGGCCAAGTGCATGGTGATTTCCATAGCGGCCTGCAGATCGCACGGGAAAACCACTTCAGGCGGGGACCTTTTCGCGCATGCTTGGTGCTGAGGCCTTTTTTTTTGAAGGGGCATGCTTCAAGAATGTTGCTTTCCCTGTTGGATTTTTTTCGCGTTTGGCTTCTTGTAATCGCGCTCATTCTCCCTTGGTGTCTGTTTATTTTTCGATTGATAGCCTGCAACACACAGCTCCTCTTTATAGGCCCGTTTCTCGGCTTGCTGAGTCTTATTCTAATCGCGCGCTTTCTCCATTGGTGCCCATGTTTCTTTTCTAACCCCACGCAGTAGAAACAGACGAGTGCTAGGCGGACCGCTCACAAGGCTTGGCATGACAATAGAAACGAGGGACATTGTGATATATCAGAGTCCGTCACACAGTACATTCTTGGATCACCTTCGGAATAGATCCAGGGACCACAAAGAGATCAGTACCGCAACTAGTACTCTCCCCGCTTCCAGCCCATGATTATGGGCCTCGTTTTTTTCGGCTTGCTGACTCTGAGTGTTATTGCGCGCTGGCTCCATTGGTGCCCATATTTGCTTTCTGCCCCCCCCCCCCCTGCTTTATTAGAGGCCCGTTCCTCGGGTTCCCGATGCCCATTCTAGTTGCGCGCGTTCTCCATCCGCCTACTTCTGTGTGGACTCGTTTTTCCGACTTCATGGTCCTCATTGCAGTCGCGTGCATTCTCGATGGGTGTCTTGCTTGAAATCGCTACGCGATCCGCTGACGCCAGTGGAGTGCAAGGGACCTTAAGACCTTTTTTTTCTCATGCAAGTCTTGTTTGGTGGCACCCGATGATAAAACGTTTGAGTTTGCCAGGTTACAGACATTTCCTGAAAAATCAAGGCTGCAAATGCAAAGGCCGCAAAAATTACCAAATGCAGAGCGTACTAGAAATGTCGGGAATGCTCAGACTGCCGTTGGCTGGCCGCAAACAAGTCTAAAAAAAACAGGGTTTTTGGATATGTCCCAAAATCAACTTTCAAAAAACAGACACAAAGCAACCGCCTCAAACACCCCAAAAAATAGACTTTGAACTAAGAACAAAAACACGATAATGCAGGGGATGTTTCGCAGTAACTGCTCCGTACAAGTGTGGAATTACCAAAAAAGACGTATTTGGGCAAATTTCAACCATTCCTCAAAGCATCACTGCACTTGCCCCCACCCAGACGCCTGACAGGGCAAGCCCAACATCGCTTGAAACCGAAAAAAAACCATGGCAGCCAGATAACCCTGATGATGCTGGGAATGCAGATCCTGCGCGTCTGAGGGACCCCCCCCCCCTGGAGACCTAGGCGAAACGCAGATTGTCAGCCGAAACACACCGGAAAATTACAGGGTTTTGGACACCCAGCACACCATGCCCGAAAAAATGACAGGCCTGAAAGTTGCGGACGGCCATCTACACGCTCGACCGGCGTCGGCGGACTAGTTCGATACTGATAGCCCGCAACACACAACGACGCATTTCGGTAGGTTACATTTGTGCTGTTGCAGAGGCCCTGTTCACTGAGACGAAACAAGGCAAGAGACTGCTATGTACAGCATTTGGCTTTCCCACACGAGAGAGGAGCAAATCCGGCAAACAAAAAGAATGCATCCTAACCTAACTCCGCACCTTATTTTACTGAAGTATTGTAGTTCCCCCTGGTGTCTAGCGCGGGGAATATATGTCAGGCGCGCAGTGTTTGCTGGCGATTTCTCACACTGCATCGGTGCTACACGTGTGAAGAGGAAGGAGCAGGGGCTCATGCCAGAGACAGAGTATCCATGGAGAGGGGGAATTTTCACAACCGTGAAGAAGGTCTTACGCGATGCTTCCAGACTTCAGCTGGTGGAACAGGTGGTCCACATGTCTAGGGTGCTGCCGTGGCCGCTCTTTCATGCGGCTTGGGACCAGCTCTATCGCGCACTAATAAGTGTAGGTGAAATGGAAGCCGTGCGCAAGATCAAAACATACTACGTACATGAGGTTGCATCGCAGTACCGTGCCCATTGGGCGGCTGCCTCATTGCAGCCTGGCTCCTACTGCGGCTCGCAACCACAAGAGCCTCGGGCGACGAGGTTATGTTGCAGTAGTTCCAAGCATGTGTTGGTGTGTTTCCCCACACAGTGTCTACACTAAGAGGTTCTAACGCTAAGAGCTAAGACCGGGCTGGATCGAAGGCTCGCGCCCAAAGCGTTGAAAGTGTGAGCAACAAGTTAGAGTCGAGGCGATAGTCTCGCGTGAGCTGCGTCTTGTTTTCCGAGCCTTCGCGCCGCGTTTTGTTTTTTGACTGGGGTAGCGCAAAGTGCGCAGGGGCCACCGTGCACACAATCGATTTATGTTATAGCTGTCGCGCCTCAGGAGAGCTACCACCGGCATCGCTTGCGAGCAGGGATCACGTCATTGTGGCAGCCCATGCAAAGCCTCTTGGAGGAGTTGGACCTTTTCATGAAAACCCGAGCCACGGAGGCCAGGCAAGACACATGTTCCCCCATGGTCGATGTACCGTGCGGAGCTTGGTCGCCAACATTCAGGGCAGAGGCGGCTGTGTATATTGATGGGGGGCATTATCTCGCGGAAAAAAAGGACGAGAACATCTTCCTGGCCATGCGGCGCGATGTGCACTCGATCCCATATGCGAAGCCGCTCGGCTTAGCCTAGAGTTTCGCTTAGGTCGGCTTACTTTTGACGTCCTAGCATAGTCGATTCGGACGACCATGCGCGGCGCAGGACACCTCTGACACCAGATGTGCTTTCTCAGCTTCAGCGACTGCTCTTGGTCGACCCAGAGTCTATGGCATGTGCTGCATCCCTGTGTGGTCTGGGCGCCAGCGCAGAAGGAACTCCAGAAGGCATGACAGCCACCGTCGCTACTCTACAGCGCTGGGTCCTCACTATAGTGGGGCCTGTGGCAGAAACTGTCTGGGCATGGCAGCCTACAGAGCGTGTGGCAAGCCACTCCAGCGCCCGGTGCCTGCTTTGCAAGACGTTTGCAATCTATGGAAGCTGCAGCCACTGCTACGTGGCCTTCCGCGTGTCCGGTCTACTGTGCGAGGAGAGTAAGCTGGCGGAGGTAGCCCCAAAGCAGCGGCTGCGATCAAAAGGAGCCCTCTTGACCCCCACCAAAGCTCCGCTCAAACCAGACCTTGGATCAGAGGCTGCACGCGAGCCCGATAAACGGGCCAGTGATGGGGTGTCGCTTGATCTTCGGAGGCTGCTTCTGCTCCACGGCTTGCACGGATTCACGGACCTTGTTGCGCAGTACGAGCTCACGCGAGAAGAGTTGGTGCATTGGGATGTTTCGGCGCTGGTGTCGCTCCTACGTTCCCCGGCCGGACCCACGCGACGCTTTTTGCAGGACATCAAGGAAGGCGTAAACTCCAAGGCGCAGGTTTCGTTTTGGATGTTGTCGGTTGTTTTGTTGTTTCAGCCTGGGGGCCACTCGTCACCCCTTCCAAGAGAGAGTGGCTAACAATATGTATAGCATGTGATAACGTCCGAGTCACAGGTTTCGCTGCAGACCGTGTCGATTTGTCTTGGTTACCCTGCGGGGCTCGAGCTCTGGGCCAAAAGCTTATGACAGTACGGTCTACGTAGCGGACGACCGTATACGTCAGAGGCAGCGACTGGATCCGCATGCGGCGCTCCTGTTCCAGCAGCCACGCTCGCCTTGGAGGCGCGCGACTGTGTCAGAAGCCGTAGATGATGTGAGAGCGAGTTTTTTTTTTGGTTGCTGGTGCCCTGTTTGAGTGGCTGACAGTATGTGGCCTGTGATAACGTCCGAGTCGCATGTTTCACTACAGACAAATGCATAACGGCTACACACATGTACCGGAGGCAGTCGCCGAATCCGCGCACGCCGCTGCTGTGCCAGCACCGACGCTCGCCTTGGAGGCGCGCGACCGTATCAGAAGCCGTAGATCATGTGAAAGGGAAAGCAAGGTCGTTTTGTTTCTTTTTTGCGGATGCCCGGGTTCCACGAGGTAGACGATGAGACAAACTGAGGGCACGTGCCAGGAGATGGGCGGCTTTCCTTTGATTTCCTTTTAAGCTAACCCCAAAAAGGATACCCTCCGAAAACATCATGATATGCCGGTATGCGGCTATAAGTTCCTATTGGGGACTCCTCGTCATCCTTTCCAAGAGACGATGGCTGACATTATGCAAAGGCGCACGACTGTGTCAGAAGCCGTAGATCATGTGAAAACGAGGTCGTTTGCTTTTACCGGTGCCCTCTGTAGTTAGTTTCAGAGCTGATCAACTAACGAGTTCCACGAAGTAGACCATGAGACAAACTCATGACACGCGCCAAGACATGGATGGCTTCCCTTTGGTTTCCTTTTAAACCAACCCCACAAAGGGCACCCTCATAAAAAATAATCAAATACTCCTATCTGCGGCATTCAGTTTTCATTGGCCATTGTGTTTCCTGTCCAGCCAACCCCAAAAAGCGTACCCCACAGAGGCACGCGCGCCGGGTGAGCGCACATACCGGAGGCAGTGCCTGGATCCGCGCCCGCCGCGGCCGTGAAAACACCCACGCCCGCCGCGGAGGCGCGCGACTGCGTCAGAGGGGAGGGGGGGGGGGCTTGTTATCCGGGGAATCGAAAAAAACAGGTGGGGGGGAAGGGGGGGACTTGTTGTTCCGGGGGGGGGGGGGGTCGAACAACAAGTGGGGGGAGAAATGGATGGCTTCCTTCGGTTTCCTTGTAAACCAACCCGGCTTCCCTTTGGATTCCTTGTAAGCCCCCCCAAAAATAGGTTACCCTCCAGCGAAGGGAGGGGGGGCGTAGAGGGAGGGGGGGCGTGGAGGGGGGGGGGGGGGGGGGGGGACTTGTTATTCCGCGTTTTCGTCGAGCAATAAACCCCCCCACCTCCGCTGAGCGAAGCGGTCTTCAAAACTCACTAATTTGCCGGTTCCAGGAGTTAGACCATCAGACAAAGTCGTGGCACGTGCTCAGAAATGGGCGGCTTCCCTTTGGTTCCTTTTAAGCCCTCAAAAAAAGGTTACCCTCCGAAGAAATACTAAACAACTGCCATTTGCGACCCCACCCCGAAAAAGGGGCACCCTCCGAAAAACATAAATAGTTTCGTCTGCGACAATCCTTTTTGTTTTGTTGCGCGGCGCGCATAGCTCAGGACCAGAAGAAGCGGAGCTACGCGCGCCTAGCTGACGCCGGGCTGCTCCGCAAGCCGCGGAATTTTTGATACATAGTCACGACGGAATTGTAATAGACATGACACGTTTGACGCAGAAAAGAAGAGAAGAGTCCGCGCTGTGTTCTAAATTGATTGTAATTCTGTGTTCCAAAGTGAGTGTAATTCTGTGTTCCAAAATGATTGTAATTTAGTGTTCCAAAATGATTGCTTGCCAATCTACAAGAGATTGGTGAAATATATGTTACCAACGCTTGTGCCCAGGCAACCATAAGAGGAGGGCTCCTTTCTTCTTCTTTTGTAAGACCACCCATTGGCTTGCAGCGAAACGACAAAAATCACGTGATTTGATGAGGCAAAGCTTCCGCAGCTTTGGCCAAAGCCTTCAGTCCGGCGTCCTCCGCTTGAAAGCCTTTCACACAAGGCTGGGATGGGGAGAATGCCCTGGCTGGGTGAAAGGGTCCATTGACAGAACCGAATTGGATTCAAGTCCGCGGGATGCAAAGGTATGTGAAGGGGGTGCCCCGTGTCTTTTTGCTCAGATTGGAGCATCTTAGCCAAAAGCACCCTACGGCACGATTCCCCTTGAAAAGGTGAGGAATGGGCGAGAAGGACCCAACCACCACACGTTGGTCCAATCCCAGATCCCTGAACGGGTTGTTCTTGTCTTTCGTTTCCTCGCAAACCGGAAAAAAATGAATTGGCAGTTGTTCCCCCTTTCGCTTCCTCTCTCTCTCACTCGCATCGGTAAGCTCCTCGCAGCACCTTAACAAAACCAAAAGTGAATTCATGCCAAAAAGAAACTCAAACCAAAAAAACGGCTAATGGCTGGTTGAGTTTGTCTGGCTTCCTCTCACACCAAAAAAACGGGTCGCCTCCAAACCAAGCCACGCGCCCCGCCGCTATGGCGTTTTCTCCAACGGAGCCCGAGGCCATGCTGGCGGCTCTCCGGTCCAGGGCCATGGCGCGCGGCGTCCGCTCCTGCGGGCACGGGTCCCGAGTGCCAAACGAGGAAGGACGCGAGATTCTAGATGTATCATCGCTAGATTCGGCACCAAAACCAGGCCTTGTGCGGGGTGGGTGTGTATATATATATATATACACTCGGTCCCCCAGCTGGGTGCCCTTCTCTCCCAACTTTTTTTTGGTTGGGAGGGTTCCATTAACTACTGAAATGAACTTTAAAAAAAAGTGGGTAGCCTTATTTTTGACGTCTCTGCTGGAGGACCTAGGAGTTGTTCCTCGTGTTTGGGTCATCAACAACTCCGAAAAAAGTTCCGAAGAGCCAAGGGTTTGTGGGTGTTCTTTTGCTCAACAACTCCACTTTTGCCTCCACCTTTGCCCCTCCGCCTCGACATCGGACATTTGTGCCTCTTGTCTACTTCTTGCTGACGCAAATTTGTTTTCTTCGGTTCCGCTCGGGATCTCGTCAAACGGCCTCCCGCGGCCGTTTGGATCTCCGAAGTGCAACTCTTTTCCATCAACTTTTGGCGCTCGCCCCATGTGGCGCTTCCTCCTCCTGGCTCCGGCCCTGGCGGAGCTTCAGGAGGCCCTTACAGGACCGGGGGGGGGTTGGAGGGTGAGGCAGGCAGCCAATGGGTTGCTTGTGGGTCCCAAAACCCGGGGACCGGTTTTTGGAGCTGGTTTCCGGGACTTCCTTCCAGTACAGCGGGGTTTCGGAAGACTGGCGGTATCTTAAGATGCCCCGTCGACTTCCAATGGAAAGAGAGTCCGCAAGCTTTTGTGTGATGTAGCAAGGGGAGCAGAAACCACTCACGGCAGGAGACGATGAGTGCAGAGACGACACGTGCTCTGCCACGTTCCTGCAGATGAAAGGTTTTGCAGGAGCTGGGGCAGGGGGCATGGACATCTTTTGGTGTCCCTTCGAAAACCATCCAAAAGTGGCGCCCTCCAAAAGAAGACGCACCCAATCTCGAGACTGGATGTATCAATCCGTTGGGTGCTCCCGTTTTGGATCTCCAAATGAGGGTTGCGCCCGATCAAAGTCCGCCAGTTGAATCAACTGGGTTCCCAAATACCTTGTCAGTTGGCAAATAAGCTGTTGGTAGTCATGATAGTCAAGTCAACTTAGGTCATACCACCCGTGAAGCCACAAATCGGTCAAAGCAAGCCCAAGCTTCAACACGTGGAAGGTTCCTCGGCAGCTTGAACAATGTCAATCAAAGAAAACCGTCACTCAAGTGGCCAACCGTAGATGAGTCAACGAGCTGTCATTCAATATGTAGTTCTATGTGTTTGGTTGTGGGAAGCATCACCAAGTTGAAGTGAATTTGTCTTTGGGCCTGATTTTGGTTCTGTTGAGCCTCATTGAGCACCGGTGTCCTTTGTCTTTGGGCGGAATGGAGCGGCCAGAGAGGATCAGGGTTTCCTGCTGATCTCTCACCCCGCAAGGCTCATGTGAAATTTGGGATGTCCCAAGGTCGCAAAGCCGTGCGGGCCGCAGGCAGTAATTCCAGCAACAACCTGACCAGCAATCTCACCGGCAACCTCACCGCGAACCTGACGAACGGCGACTTCTCGGCCATGGAAAGAGCTGGCTGGTCCTGTCGTTATTACGGCTGCCGAGGGCCGCTCAGCCGAAAGAAAGCAAGGGCGAGGTACCTTCAGAAGGCTTCCAAAAGAAATCTATGCATTTCCACGTGTGTGGTCCCGCCGGAAATCTCCCAGCAAAATGAGGAGTCTCGTCCAGTTTCATGACTTTAGGGTAGTCGAAGTGCGCGGAGTTGCCCACAAAAACCAGGGTACAACTGTTTGTCCGTGTCCTCTTCGAGCCACAAGAACCTCTTCAACAGTTACACAAATCCACAGATTTTCTGGATGCCTCTCACCCAACTTCGGGGGCGTTTCTTCCAAAAGACACGAGCTGTAACACGAGGCAAAGGGATGCAAAGGGCAGTTGTCCTTTGTGGGGCCGACCAAGGAGCTACCACCGCGAGTTCTACTGCCAATGCAACCCATCGTGCTCGCGCTACGGGACAGTGGGAGAACACAAGAGATTCAACGGGAAAGCATTCTGAGGAATGGAAAGGTCTTTGTGTAGGGATCGGGTTCTGCAATCCAATTAGGGGGGAAGGAGGGAAGAGTGCGTGAGGGAGAGGTAGAGAGAGAGCGCTAGGAATTGTTGCTATGACTTCTCCTACACCTGTCCTTCAGCCGCTTCCCGGCGTCGCCGGCGCCGCGCCCCCCCGCCCGACACCCGCCGGCGCCGGCGACGGGCGCCGCCGCCGCCGCCGCCGCCCGCACCTTCGCCGTCGCCGTCGCCGTCGGGCGGGCGAGTGCTGACGGTCTTCCATCAAACGAGCCCGCAGGCATGCAAGCGCCTCGGACGCAAAACCGGCCTGGGCGCCGGGAGCTCGTGTAAGGCTGCCCCTTCTCCCGGCTCGGGGTCACTGGGCACCTGAGAACTGAGGGTTGTTGGGCTTCCTTTGTGTTTTCAAGAGAGTGCCTTGACCTCCCCGCCCCATTTGGATGCTTTCTCAAGACCGAAATATGGCTCCCGGTCCGTTGCAGGACAGAGTCATCTGTGCAAATGTATGCAGTCAGCGGCCTCACATTGAGGTTTGCCAATGCACAAACGCAATCTTCAGAAGGCACTCCTTGCAAACACTCAGGCGAAAAAAAGGCAAAAGTCTTCGTAGAGGAATCTCTATTGAGCCCCGTGGTTTCCGTGACTTGGGAGAAACGCAAAGGATCCATTTCGCAACTCGGAACACCCCGAAGTCTCCCTGCGTCTTGGATCCAGGTTCACTTTCGGGCTTGTGACAAGACTTGTGCGCTGAAATGTGTCACCAAAATCCACGAACCCCCCCAAAAAATAAAAATAAAGAGCCGCTCGTTCCACTTCCTTTGGCCTCCCTTGAGGCCCATCCCAAGAAAAAGCTTGAGAAGACGCAAAAACACCTCAGCCCATCCCAACAGTCGACGGGATGACGCGTCCGAGGGCCATCCTTAAGACGGGCTTCCGCCGGGGCTCGGATGGCTGGTGCGGGGGGGCCATCTACTTCGCCATGAGCCCTCAGGCGGGGGGGGGCTTCGGTCTCGTGGCTCGAGCTTCGAGGTTCGAGTTTTGACCGAGTTCCTCGGGAGTTTTTTGGGCTCTACCTGGTGGCAAACCCCAAGTTCTGCGCCTTGCCAATAGGGGCCAACTGGAGCCAAGCCAGCCTCACCGTCGAAGCCGCGGGTTCTCGAAAAGCCAAGGCCATTTGGAGACTCGTGCCCAACACCAGTCCAAGACTTTAGTCAACTTTCGGGAAGACCATCTTAGTGGAAAAGAGCTCTTCCCATTTTGAAAAAAATCGCAGACCGCAGACCATTGCGGAGGTTCTGCGTTGATGCAAACCTATGTCGGATTTCAACTTGGCACTGACTGCCTGTTTTCATGCTGAGCCAAAACAGCTTCTGTCCCGGGCAGCTTAGAAGGAGCCGTATAAAGGAGTCCCAAGGAGCCTTATAAGGAAACCTCCAACACATCTGTCAGGATTTGCATCCGGTGTCCATCGCACAGGCCACCAAGACGAAAGCCATCGGCACTCAATCGCAGGGAGGCTGCGTCATCGAGGCGGAACCTGTCGAAGCTGTGGAACCCGGTGATTCCATGTCCATTTGGTTTGCAGGGTGACCAATGGAACCACCCTTTAGCAGGAAAACGGGCCCACTGCTCAGGTGGCTGGGATGCAGTGTATAAGAATATCTCCATTTGTTCTCCTGTAAACCGCCCCCCATGTTTGGCCAAGAGAAAGATAGTGCCGTTCCCTTTGGCTTCCCCAAGAGAAACGCGAGGTACGGGAGCTCAACGTGACTTGTGGTGACTGTGTCTCTGTAGAATGGGACCATTGGCGAAATGGAGCCTTCTTGCCTTCCAAGCCCTCTGCACACGCCCAGAGCACATCAAAGCTCCAAACCTAATCAAAGGAAGCTTAGAAGAAACTTCCGTAGTAAGGAAACTAATTGAAAGGTAGCCTGCGCAGATAGATAGCTACAGAAGATCAGATGACCTATGCTTCAGATTCCTAAACCGCAGTCAGCTTTCTGAAGTGAGTAGAGAAGAGAAGAGAAGAAACGATTGGCAAAGAGAAGAAGCGGCAAGTGCTCAGATTGCGAGACCGGTGCAGCACTTGGGCACCGAAAGGGCTCGAAGTGAGCACCCTCGGGTCCATTTGCTTTCGCAAGGTCAGGTACAGATGTCTTGGGCTTGACAGATAGAATAGCAGATAGCTAGCTGGTCCCCACAGACAGATAGATGGACAGGTAGGTAGCTTCAGGCAGAGACCTCGACACGTGGCTAGCTTGACACATAGACAACAAATAGTCAGCTTGACCGAGACAGCCTGACGAACAGGTTGGTCGGGCAGATAGCTTCGATAGTCAGACAGCTGCAGAGACATTCAAGCAGGTTTCCACAAGGCCGAGCGGGATCGCCAAGCAGCTAAATTAATAACTGGCATTCTTACTTCCAGACGCATTGTTAGCTGCCTCAAGCTTATTCGTCCAACCATCAAACTTATGATGCAGCCGTGAGCTTGAGAGCAGAAATTCCTCGAAATCGTTAGGGGACGGATTTTTTTTACTACAACCATGTAAATAGTTTACACTAAAGGGGCCCCCCGATTCAGATTCACCCCATCTTTGAGATGGAAAAATCCAAGCATGCAACGCCGATGCTTCGGCGTGGAAAGCCACCACCCCTGATGGGAATCCGGTCCCGCCTTGCAGTATCTCCTGAAAAATGCTGCCCAGTGGGTTTGTCTTGTGTTGCACTTCTTGCACGGGGAAACCAAAGAGAAACCCGAGCGTTTTCTGACCTTACCAGTCACCAAGCCACTAGCCAACCGTGATCTTGTCAAGGGCGTTCCAGAGATCCCAGTTTATCAGCTGAAGGTACCATGAGTGTGGTAGCCGTCCGCTCATCTCTTTAATGGTTGCTCCCTTCAATGGATGGACCGGGGTTTTCCATTGGAAATGAGGCCATCTTTGGTTTCTCGCTCCACAAGGTCACGGATTTTCGAACTCACCGTTGCGGGCCAGTTGCCCTTGACGGGGTGCCTTGGTTTCCCCTTCCCGATACGTTCCCAAGAAGCAACCCCCAAACGAAGCTGGCTCCCAGAAACCCAAAGTTGCCCACTCAACATAAATCGGGCAAACAAACAAAAAACGGGTTGGTCAGCCCGGGTTTCGCCTTCAAGACCCTTGGCCTCGTCCGTCGCGCAGGCCCGGGTGGATGTGGGCCGTGTCGCATACTTGGGCGGTGACTGCGGAGGGAAGAAGGAGCAGGCCGGAAAGGGACCGCAGGGGTGTGTGTCAAAACCGGGGTACCCCGACAATGGGTGGTTTCAATCTGGTTTTGCGTTAAAACCACCCAAAACAGGGCGTCAAGCAACACACAGGTATCCCACATGTATCCTTTCAGGGACCCCACAAACCACGCAATGACCCTTACTCTGCTTCAGGAACCATCAAGTGAGCCCCCTAGAAACGGCCAACTTCAACCATTTCCAACCCTTTGGGAGGTTATTCCCCATTGACAGTCATAGCCAACTGTATGTCAAAACAAGGGTACCCTTTGAACAACCTGGGAAACGGTACCTCCAAAACACACAATCAGCAAAGTGGGCGTGTGGCTGTTTAGGGCACCCATTTTCCAATGGTCCAAGAGCAAGAGGGAACACACACACACACACACACAGACACACACACACACACACCCTATTTGAAGTCGCATGCATGCTTCAAGGATACCCTCCCAAAAACTAACATGGAACTTAAAAGAAGGTCCTTGCTTAAAGCAAATGGTCTTCGAAAGGGTCTTTCAGGCTCCTGTTTGTTGTTGGGAGGGTACATTTCGGCCAATACACCAAAGTCATCTGAAGTAGTTGTTTCAGAGGAGGCCTCTGGGTGTATCCTAAATAGAATGCTGACGTAGTTAGGATTCAACAAGTAGATAGAGCACCGGGCCCCACTATGGCCAACAACTCCCATTCACCTTAAAATCTCAGCTCAACCCAAACCAACCGCAAGGAGGCGTTTTCAGTGAAGCACAATCACAGTCAAGCAACCGTCAAGGCACACTCCCTGAGTTCCCGGACTTTTTGCGGGTTCGGACCATTTGGCAAACGAAAAGTTTGGACAAGTTGTTGGCCAATCTCCCGTTGCATTGGGGGCTTCCTTGTCGGGTTGCATTGTCAGGGTTCTCAAGCTACCTCCGGGACCGTGGTTCTCTTTGAACCAAAGGGCTAACTGTGAAGGTCCTTATTTAACTAGGCCCCCTTGAAAATCGGAACGATCACATGCCGGGTTGCCAAGAAAGTGGAAGCACTGGGAAAGGCTGGGCATTTTCCTCTCAAAGCTCCGTACCGGTGCTTCGCTTTGGACTTCCAGGTTTGGCAAGAATCCTCATCGCGAATTGTCAGAGCCCCGCACAGAGGCCAACCCAGGTGTATGAGTGGGTTGTTCTCTGCGGGATTCCTGCCCAACCTTTTTCCCTGCCCTGAACATTCCTGCCCCGGCAGCTTGTTCTCTGCCCTGAGGGGCTCAGGAGCCAAACAGGCGAAGCCGAGCGTGCGAAATGCAAAAGGGCGCCGTCACGAGACAGAGCCTTTTGAGGTGCCCTCCGGCTACGACTCGGTGTCCTTTGACCCGGGCGATGGGAAGGAGGTCGTGATCTGGGACAAGTCTCGTGCGGCCCGGCTGCAGTCCGCTCAACCCCTTCGGCTGCTGTCACAGACGGTCTATTCATAGGTGTCCTTTTTGGTTGGGTTTTGCTTAAAAACCAGAGGGCCCTGGTTTAGATGGGGGTTATTCCATTTACCAGGGCCATCTATTTTTCCAAAAAGGCCACCTATGCGGTCGATGGGCTTTCTTTTGGCCTCGAGGGAATCCCACTGGAAGGGTTTGAGCAGCAGGTTTTTTCAGGCTGGGAGAGTGCCCCGCGCCAGCCACTTGAAGACTTGTTCTAGTTTGTTAACAGTTAGCCACCAACACTGCAAGTACCCCCGATAGATCAATAAACATTCCCCCCCCCCGCCGCCAAACCAGACTGCACAGGTACAGGAAGTGACATTGGTTCTTGAGTTGAGCTTATCTATCCCTCCTTTTTTCTTGGGCCCAGTTCGACCGAACTCAAAATGTTGTGGGGGGGGATGGCGCCTTCAGCTGCGGGAAATGGCCCTTTGGATTGGTTTGAAAGGGGATTCTAAAAGGAAACCATGGCCTTTTGTGGGCCCCACGTGCTTCACCAAAAATTTCGTTTGTGGAGGGGCCTGGGCTTGAGGTTAAAAGCATGAAGATCATCCCCTACGACCCTGCGTGGAGCCCAAGCTGAGCATCTCTGAGACTGAGCTCCGGCATTTAGCCCCGGCGATGGCAAAAACGACCTCTTCGAGGGGCGAGCTTATCTTCCCGTGTCTGAAATATGCTCATCTGTGTTGTTCGTGCCGCCCAAAAAGTGCCTCATTTGGGGGGGAGGGGGGGGACCGAATGTGATTAGCAAAAGCGCCGACCCTGCACGTTCATTCTTAGACAGAGGGATCCTGTTGAGATCAGGAGCCCTCATTTTCGGTCGGCAAAGTGTCCACCGGGCAACCAGAGGCCCGTGTCCAAGCAGTACACTTGGGTGCGCAAGCTTCCGGTCGGGCCCCGAAGCTCGTTTCACAAGGGGACCTTTGGTTTCAACAGTTGCAGCTTTATTGGAGCCCCGCTAACTGTTTCGTTTTCCGTAAAGCAAGCACGCTGCACGTGCGAATCCCAATACGATTTAATACACGAAGGAGAGGCCCAGTCGATGGTTCTCCCCGGCGACCTGGGGCCTCACTTGGAGCGCGCTGGGCCTTCAGCGCCGAGATGGACGCACGCCAGGCTTGCCGAAGGAGCAAGCTGGCGGTGGGGGTGAACCTAAGTGGCACAGCCATGCGTCCCTTAGGGAAATTGAAAGGAGGATGTTTTAGACACGTTCTTAAAGCTTCCTACGGCCTTGAGCCACGTGGCCATGAGTCCCTTAAGGATGTTTTAGACACTTCAAACATTCTTAAGCCACGTAGCCTCCGGCGATTCCCGGGAAGCTCGACGGCTGCAAAAGGACTCAAGTTTTGCAGAGCAGAACCTTGGAATCGCCGGTGAGACGAACGGTCATCCCCAGCCTGAAATCAGAGCCAAGTGTCACCGGGTCTTTGGCTACTGGCAACTTGTGTGGACGAAGGACTCACATGAGTGTAGGGGAATGGTTTTTCTATGCGAATGGTTGGTGGGCAAATATATATATATATATGGTACCCCCCCCATGGACCCTGGTTTGGTGAGCTTGAGCTGTGTTTTTTCCAGTGGTTTATGCCTTTTGTTGCCTCCTTGAGGTGCCATGTGTACAAATACATACATACATTCATATGTAATGTAAGCAATGTTTTTCAACATTTGCCAGCTGACAGAGTGTGCATGCATCTCAGAGTATTGTGACAACTCTGCAATGTAAAAACAATATATATATATATATAATGAATTCAAGATTCCCAGAAATAGTTTTCTCAGATTCTTGAATCTTGAATATTGATCCCAGAAATGTCAATCTTGAAAAAAACAAGTCCCAATATTCTAGGTGTTCATTCATACTTCCGCAACCAAGTATGCGCACCCATCTGCAGTCATTTAGTCTGCAACCCTCCAAGTTGCCGCAATGGCTGAATTCAAAGTGAGATGAAAAGATTCTGGGAAAAGCTTTCTGTGAAAGATTTCAATCTTGAATCTTCAATCCAGTGGTAAAATACTTTCGAGGTTTTAGAACAACTCTGCCAGGATTGACGATTCTCATGAAAGTTGTTTGTGCAATCTTCAATTGTGAATTCTCAATCCAGTGGTAAAGAACATTCAAGTGTTGGAAGACCTTGAATGTTGTTCGGCTTTGGCCAGGATTGACGATTCTCAGGAAAGTTATTCTGTGTAATCTTCAATCTTGAATCTTCAATCCAGTGGAAAAACCTGTCAAGTGATTAGCGATCCAGTGGAAACACGTCCTTGTTCTTAGACAAACTTGCAAGTGCTTTTGGTGAGTGTTTTGCTTCATGTAAGCGGAGGTAAACAATTGTAGGTGTAATGCTCAGAAACACTGTATATTACAGTATGTTATGAAGAGGCGTAGGATCATTCAGGGTACTATATGTTTGTGCATATGTTCACACACCATCACCCCCCGCCTGAGCTACCTGTCCACCTCTGCTCATCTACTACCTGGGCTTTCTGAGATGGAATTAATTTTGAATTCCTGTCCAAATAAAACTTTAGATACGACTGATTTAGCTAGAATACCTGTTTCGAAGTAGTTTTAGAAGTTGAACCTCTAATTTCTTAAAGTTTCCATTTTGGAACACTGTCTAACACTGTCGAAATGTTTGGCCATATTTAGTATGAATTATAGTTGAGAATTAGTGTCTGTTCAATTGTTATCAACAGCTAATTGAATTATGCTCGTATTAGATTATGTTATTTGATTTAATTTGGCAATTAGCCTCTTCTATTGCTGTTGCTAAATATGTTTAGTTGGATTTTGCCCGAAATTAGACTTACATTTTGATGTAACTCCTGTTTGGAAAGGAATTGTTTAGTTAAGTTTTATTTGAGCATACGTTGTGGAAAACCATATCATTTGTAAATTGTCTTCAAAATTCCAATTCTAGTTAAAGTGACATCCTAGTTGCAAAGAATCTCACATTGGGACATTTCGGAAGACTCCGGGCTCCAAATTATGAGGCTTTAAAGGCCCAAAAGTGGAAATGTGGAGAATTTAAATCTCTAGATTCTAGATTTATCATCACAAAAAGACGCCAACACCAGGGTCATTGGGGGGGGAGTGCATCTATATATATATATATACATACGCACATACATGCAGGCATGCATGTATGCATACATACATACATACATACATACAATGGAAGTAAATGAAGCCCATCACTGGGAACCAAATTTATGCCCATGATGGCGGTTTGCAGGATGAGTTACCCCCTCACAAGGCAAACATCCCGGAGGTTGAAGGGCACTGGGAACCTTTGGTTCATAGCTCCCTCCCAGTGATCCGTTTTGACTGGTTCTGGTTATGTTCTCCCTTCAGGCTATGGTTTTTGGAGCACCAAGTAGAGGCTGTTTATTTCCATTTGTAGTGAGAGATGGTTCATGAATGACCCCTCCGGAATGCGTTGCAACAAGTTTCAGCCATAAGTGAAGGTCATCCGGATCAGAAATGAGAAATCTAGATAGGTGTGACTACTAGCCCTTGGTTTGCGAGTGTTACAAACCCTCAGCCCACCTGCAATGAGTTGCCGGCTTTTGACGACCCGATGGCGGAGGGCGGTCCGGCAGCCCAAGCCCTCCGCCGAATTTTAGATTGGCAGAGCCAAAAGCCTGGGCTGAGAGGTTGCGCTTCAGCCCGGGCAAAACGCCGCACGCGTCGCGAGGGGCGAGGGGAGGCAGTGAGTGTTTTTGGGAAGCCACTGGAGCAATTCGGAGGCTCGCTGGTGGGAACACCTCACCTCACCTGGTCATTTCTTTAGCCCCAAGCCGACCTTTTGTCAAGTCGATGGTCTTGACTCTGTGCGGTATTTGGGGAAGTATTTGACCGTGGGTCAACACCAATGGTCCCATTTTGGTTGGTAGGTTCACCACCCATTTTAGTCGATTGTAGTGGGGAGTGGGATGTTCACTGGGGTACGGGGTTTTGACCCATAGCTGCATAGAACCTCCAGCATGGAAGTGCGCAGCTTTTTTAGCGGGCCGACACGTCAAAACCCGTGTTTCTCCATGGACACATCCTGGCTACGGGGTAAGGCTTTCTTGCAAAGGGAGGTGTTTAGAGGGAAATGGTCATGACTGCTAAGTATATGGTGTTTCTAGCATTGTGGCAGTGGAAATGGAAGAAGATGTTCTTGGTCGACTGGAGTACAGGGGGGCCCCGACAAAATTTCTGGACGCGATTTGTCCATGCCCTTCCAAACCAATTTCTGGAATTTTTCAACGTGTCGTTTGACCTCATGACGAAAAGCAACATGAAATGTCTGGAAAGGCGAAGGAGATGGCGTCTCTTGTCTCCAACACTTAGGCTCACAAAAATGGGGGAACCTGAATCAACCTGGAGAAGACCAACCATTCTCCCAAATTTCTGGCAACCATTTTGGACTGTTGCTTTGGCAGGTTGTTTTGCGAAAGCCAAGGTTGGGCGGGTGTGGTGTGTTGTTTGGAAGCCATTTGTTTCAAACTTGGCTGTTTTTTGGGAGCAACTTGCTTGAAGAGAGGAGAAAAAACAACATCCGACCACCAGCTGTGTTTGAACCTGTTGACCCCAGCTCAGGACCTCACTGAGGATCCCCAACGCGCCGCCAAACTCCAGCGAGGTCTTTCACACGCTGCAGATGTACCCGAGCCTTGGCCGTTTGGTTTGTGTGTGTGTGTTTGTGTTTGTGTTTGTGTTTGTGTTTGTGTTTGTGTTTGTGTGTGTGTGTGTTTGTGTGTGTGTGTGTGTGTGTTTGTGTGTGTGTGTGCGTGTGCGTGTGTGTGCGTGTGCGTGCGTGCGTGTGTGCGTGTGTGTGTGTGTG